ATCTTCAAATCTCAAGTTCATATGATTTTATATTTGTGATAGTAGATTATTTTATCAAAATGGCACATTTTATATCATACACAAAATCTATAATAGGTGAAGAAATTACCAAGCTTTTCTTTGACAATATATATTGGTATCATGGATTGCGAAAAGATATTAAATTAGATAGGAAGACTTAATTTATATCAAAATTTTAGAAAATCCTTTTTAAGATTTTAAAGGTAGACATAAAGCTTTCTTTGGCCTTTTATCCTCAAACTAATAGACAGACAAAGTACATAAATCAAGTTTTGAAGCAATACTTAATGTATACCATCAATTATTAACAAGAAAATTGGACAACCTTCTTGCTATTGGCAAAGTTTCCTTATAATAATTTGATGCATTCTTCTATATAACAAATACCTTTCTTTGCCAATTATGGTTATCATCCACAATTTAATATTTTTGACTTTCTAACAGTTGATAATCCTATGGAAGAAGATTTGGCAAATTGTTTGTCAAAGCTACATACAACAATGAAGGCATAATTGAAAGAAGCTCAAAAATGACAAAAGATCAATACGGTGTCATGTTGTGGTTCGGCTATTGTATAAAAATAATGTAATTATGTACTTAATATATAATTTATTAAGTAACATGGTAAGAGCCAGTTAAAGATCATAATTATAGAATATAATTTGATTATTACTTTGAAAAAAAGGTTGTTTAAAAAGATTACTATAGAATTTTTATAACTTTAATTTTCTTTTGATAGTGGCTTTTAAGATTGGTTTTGGTTGATAGTAACTTCTAAATATTTAGAGTCACCTTTATTAGACACTGGTGACCTTTCAAAACTTATTTTAGTTCTTTTATTTGGTGTTTAGAGCATAAATTATGTAAATATTATAAGAAAAAAGATTGAAGAAGAGTTTTGGTAGAAAAAGAAGTAATTAGGGTACAAATATAGATGAATGGAGATGAATGATGAAAATCTCCATTCCTATTGGTCAAAAATCATGACCAATAGGCTTTGAGGAGGCTGCCCGAGGCCATATTAGAGATTAGGGTTAGTTTTTCAGGGCCATTTGAGCTTTGAAGGCTAAGATCAGCAAGTTTAGGTTTTTGGCTATGGTTTTGGTGCAAGTTTTGTATGGTTTGGAGTTTATATGAAGGAGATACAAGCTCTCAAAGTTAAGGTATTGATTTGAGAGCTACTATCTTTCTTTTTGGCATAACGCATGCATATAGATAGAAATTGAGGATCAGTGACTGCAATTGGAGAGAGCACTTTTGCAGCTACACTTTTTGCATATTTCTTGCTAGATTCTAAGTGGGAATGAAGGAGTTATTGGATTTTGAAGTCAGCACATGCAATCTAAGCGTAGTAAGTGACCCGATTTAATAGTGGTTGTGTCTTGAGCTATATCTTGAGCAATTTGATAAGGTTTTGACTCAAAATTTCAGGAATTGTGTAATTTTATGTAAGTAAACTTTGTACATAAGTTTGATGACATTTGAATATTGGATTCTTGGGATATTAAGAAAATAGTGCTCAAGTGCTTGTAAATTAGGATTTAAAGTGTTTGCTAGGATTTCTTAGATGCCAGAATTTCGGAAGTAAATTTGGAGTTCATTTTTTTTGTGATAAAATTTAAGGATGAATTCTACCTATTCTATAAATTTGAATCAAATTAAACCATTAGATCAAGAGTTATGAATTTCTAAAGTTTGGAAAAAGAAAATCCTTTGCGGAAAAAATATGTTTTGAAGGGATTTTGTTATATTTTGAGTTTTATACAAAATAAAGGAGTTTTGGAAGCTAAGACAAGATTCACATAAAGGTTTAAGCTACACTTTCTATAGCTAGATATCTAGTGTATTCCGAGATAGTAAATCATGCCATACGATAATGGTGCCTATCAAAAAAAACAACCATAATTTAATGTAAGTGGTAAAATATGATTACTTCATCGTAATAATAAAATTATTCATCCTTGTGATAAGTTAGACTACTATAAACTTGAACCTTTTCTTATTTGTGGAAAAATCAATCCAATTGCTTATTGATTATATCTACCAAAGTCAATGAAGATCCATCATATATTCCATATGTCTCTTCTTAAACCATACAAGATTGTGAATATATCAAGAAGAAGACAAGTCTCACTTCCTCTTGTAGAAGTCGACAATAATAAAGAGTTTGAAGTGGAAGAAGTTCTAGACTCAAGATGACATCAAAATAAGTTAGAATATCTTATCTATTGGTACAAATAAGATATTAGTGAATGCACTTGGGAGCCAGCAAAAAAATCTTATAAATGTAGTACAAAAAATCAAAGCTTTTCATCAACAACATCCATCAAAATCAAGATGAAGGATAGCAAATCTTTGCTATAAAAGAAACATAATTCAAGAAAGATTATATTTTATTTTCTATCCTTGTTTGTAATTTTTATATAATTGTGGCATTAAGGAGATAGAGAATTAATAGCTAGTAGATTCAATTCAAAAGCCATTATTTACCGACTTACCAAACAAGATATTGTGATTATCACAACCTTCAAGACAACATAATAGGAATGAAGATCTTCAAGAATGATATGTTCTTTCTCAAATAAATAAAAAAATACAATGCATTTAGTATCACAACTTGAAAAAAGACTCTCAATGTTTGGCCATTTTATTAGAAGTAGGCACGACTCTTGATTAGTATTACAAATGATTTATTTGAAAGAAGTTGCAAATTTTTCAACAATGATTAAATTACAAGATGAACTTCTCGTTCTGAGATGGAATATTATTGATGGCTGAGAACCTATCAACTACCTTCAAAAAGAATAAAGATTAAAGTAAGTGGCAAATAGAATTTGTTACATCTTAGACTTCCTCAACATATGATTACTATTCCTTATGGATCTTGTGCCTAGAAAGAGAGATAATATCATGGATATATATATCTACTATAACTATTAATTAGATAATATGAATAGATAGAAGTAAATAAAAATAGATTAATTTCATAATACCTTCTAAATAAGCTTCTTGAAAGCTTCTTAGAAGCTTCTTAGATGTTGTTTTGTCTTTACATGTATTTGTAGTTGATTAGTAGAGTAGAAACTTGATCAACAAGCTAACACTGTGCTACATGTATTGGTAGCTTATGAAAAAAAATTAACTATATAACATTTATATAAAAAACTTGCTTTGTAAATCAAGATATATATCATACAAAGTCAATATATTTTTGGAGGTCCTATACAATGTTGCCACATAGATCCTAGATTGATAGTATATATAAAAGCAAGAGTGAAGCCTTCTTCACACTTATCAACTCATTTCTTGCTTCTAGTCTAGATTTAAGAATCTTTAGTTTTTTTTTAATATATATACTTTTTTATTTCTATTTTCTCACTTTTCTTTTGACATAGATTTCACAGCTTTATGCATCTTCTTTCAGTTCATGTCCTTGACATAAAGGGAAGCAGTAATTTCATCTTTGACCAATTTTTTTTAGAAAAAATATTAGTTTTATTTCTAATTTTAGGCTTTGACTTAGTTTACTACAATCTAGACTTTCATGTTACTAATATCAATTCAATTAGTTGCAATGTTCAATATACACAAAATCAATCTAAGGCTCAAATACTAGCATTACTTAGATTCTTCAAGGGAGGGAGGGAGGGAGGGGAGAGAGATCCCTCTACATGTGTAGATATAAGAAACAAGTTTGGTACAAATTTTATGCCACCCAATGATGGCACTAACAATCTATAATCATAAGACTAAACGAGATTGCCATGGCCCGCTATAATATAAAAACCAGCTGCTCAAGTAACCTGGACAAGTATCTAGGTGTACTTCATTGATATTGGGTTACATATTGCTTGTAGTGCATGAGTATTTTCATCCACATATTGCCATTATTTCGTTGCTGAGTCAGTTTGCTCCGTGTCTGCAGCCCACCTCCGGCATCGACCGGTCTGTTGCAGCTAGTCGCTCCTGATTAGCTAAGGCCAGAATTGCAACAGATCGTTTCTTCCCTCTACAAACCATCGCTAGATGAGCCTACAATTGGATTTTTTTTCCCAAAAAACCTTTCATTAGAATATCTTTGTACTTTTTTTTAAATATCTTATTTCTTACTCCGGTATTTTATTTATAGTACATATTATGCTGTAAATACTGTTGCAAATGATTTCTCTAACTGTGTGATATCAAACAGTGAATCTACCTTATACTTCTACCTAAACCCTAAACCTTATCCTACATGAGTATGGGATGATACAGTGGATAACTTATTAGAATGGGAACCATAAAAGAAATTTAGATGTGGTTAGTATGGTAAATTTCAATAGGAATGTGAACAAGTGTAGTAAGAATGCTGTTGTCGGGGGACAAATACATATCTTAATTTTTTTTTAACAACTCAGCTTCGTCGAGGGCTTCAGCAGTAAGAGGGGGTCAAGAACTAATGTCTGTTCACTAGTTCATTTTGAGGGAGTTAATTTAGAAAGATTTTGACTACCACACTTTATAGATGCAGGTTTCTGCACGGTGTTTTCAACACAATGGCGTATAGGCTATCAAGGTGTAGGCATCTGTAGACGTCAAGTGTTGACATTGCTACAAAGTAGATGTGCATCTGCAGACGTCTTCCACAACTCCCACAATGGTCAACTTATAAGAATTTTCTAAAACTCGTCAACTGGGCTCACCCATCAATTACGTAGCAAAAGCTTTCATTTGTAAATTTTAAAAATATTATGTAAAACTCGCTGCCAGAGGAGATCGTAGTGATACGAAAATGTTTTCCCTCAAAGACTGACAATCATTTACTGTGTTGGGATCTTCAGAAGACGAAAGAACAAGGGCATTTGCATTCACGACGTTGTTGGCTGAGACAGTTCAAGACAGGACAGGAGGAGATCCAGGCTTGTATACAAATCATTCCCACAACTCTGTTGTATGATTGGATTCGCAGACAGTGCATGAAGTCCCTCATTACCAGGATGTGAAGGGATAAATAATTCTTCGTTATATATTGCTTGGTCCCTAGCCTTTTCTTTGCTTGGCCTTGTAGTTATTCGGTCCAGCATCTGAACAGAGGGGACTGAGGATCGAATATAGAAGAGCCCTATATTGAACACCCAGATCCGTATGGTATCCGCAAATTTCGATCAGGCCATGGAAGGATCTTCCGAAACATCATCATACCCGTAGGCTGTTGGATCGTCAAATCCATCTGACACTCTCAAGTCATACTCTTGTGCTGGAGTTGTGCAAGAGTTTTGGAGGTAAACAATGTCGACGTCGTTAAGGAGCACATCGCAGCCAAGTACAAGAAACTTCCACAGAAGGTCAAACTCCAAACCTGAAAACAGTGGACGCTTGGGTAAGCCTTATAAAAATAAAAATAAAAAGTTAAGGCAGTTGTAAGAAACGTACAAACCTGAATTGCACAAACTGCTGGAAATACAGGGATTAACGCGCCTTGAATTTCGTATATTGAAATCGTAGCGTCTCGTTTGTAGACAGACACGTTGTGCTCATTACAAAATGAGGCAATCTCGTCTAATGCAACAACCAAGTAATTTGTCATGCTCACCCTTAAGATGCTCGCAAACTATGAATGAGGGAAATTAGACGAAGAGAAAGCATGATATAATAATCACCTAACATTGTGAGTTCTTGTGGATACAATAGCCTTATGACGGATTCATGACTGCTCCACCAACATCTTCTTGCAATATACAAAATCAAGGCAGACTATAAGCTAGCTTCTAACAACTGCGCAGAATAATGATACAGATCTGTAAAAACCAGAGCCATGTGACTCTACATAGACCACTTCCTGTGGCATTTCTCAGACATTGTTATTCAAGATGCTGACCAACTCTCTAGTGACGGCAACCTTCTTCAAGAGTGCAGCAAGCTCGGGGTTGACAGATTCATCCGGTTTCACCACCTGATTTGTCCGTGTACTTTTCACAGTGCCTGCAGACCTTAACTTGGCCAAGGGTAATAATGACTCGCCCTGCTTTTCTCTGAGATTTTCTCTTACTATTGCACGTCGTTCTTTAACTTAAATGGAATCAATTTCATGGTTTCCTTCTGAAGCCATCCTGGCTCTCTTCCAAGCATTACCACTTTAGCTTTCAAAGGTAAAACGTCTCCGTCCCGATTCATGATCATAAAGTCAATTCATCGGTTCAGATGAAATCAGATATCCTAGAAAGACACGATACCAACATGCTGGCCTTACCCTGAGCTCAATATCCACTGACGCATGCTCCCTGTTTACATCTGATGGGTCTCCTCTAAGGAGCCATGAAACAAAACTTTGCAGCGATGTAAAGTTGCAATGTGAACCTAAAGTCAGGTCAAAACGAAAAATAATATGTAAAACGCCAACCAGCGAACCAATACAGAATATCACGGCGATTAGAAACCTTCAAAGAAGCATAACCAAAACATTTAGGGGTTATTTTCTTCCTTGACTAAACAGTATTCGAACAAGAACCACTTAAAATCAGCAGCGAAATGTTCAACAGATGGTAAAGTGGCAAGTGATCAATCCCATGTTGTCAGTCCCCAAGTCAAACTGGCCGTGAGAACACATTCGTAGCTCATCAGTGAAGAACAAGTAGTGACCAAAGCAGGACAAAGTTGAAATCAAAGGAATAAAACTCTGAGGTACAAAAGAAATCCTCTGTGAGCACACCACTTCCCAAAAACTAAACGAACGGTGATCGATAAAGTAGCTCACCGCAGGCAGAGTTGGAATCCACGAAGACAGTGCAATAAGTGAGCAGAGAAGTGTTTTAGGTTAACAGGTTGATCAGTTTTCACGTAAAAAACAAATTAGGCGCGAACATGCTTCTGAAACATGAGTCTGAATTTCCCACCTTCCTTAAAGACAAACCCACTGGCAGGCGTTAGAAACCTCAGGCCGATGAAATTCCGGGCCTCAAAAAGCCGTCCAGTCGAAGAAAAGCCCAGAATTCGCCCAGGGCCATCCCCATTGCAAAAGCGTGCGCAATTCGGCAATCTCTCGTCGATCTTCGCTGCCCCACCATCTCTTTCTTCCGCATTCTCTTCCCTCACTCCTCCCTTTTGAAAAGAACAGCAACCCGTCTCCTGTACCTCTCCCACATCGAAAGCTAATCAGGATCCTCTCTCTCCGAGTCGCAATGAAACGAAAAACCCGACGCGGGGCGCAGCAAAAACAGAACAATTCCACATTAAGAATTGAGCTACTTTGAAGAAAAAATTGCCCAGCGACAGCGATGCGCCCGCTAGATGGGTACCGGCAATGCAAATTTCCTAAAATCTCGATCGAAACCCCTAGAAATTCCTCAATTGTAACCTTCACGATACCTCGATCACAAACTCAATCGCAACCTGATCGAACCTTTCCAAAGACCTCGATCGATCGGGGTCTTTTCGAAACCGGAGAAATCCGAGCTACGCGCCGCCGCCGCCGCCGTGCGTCCGTGGTAATCACCGTCGTTTCCATCGTCTCCACCGACAGCCTCCCATAGTTTAAGACTTTAGGAATTTAAGAATACTTTTGGAAAAATAATACAAGGCTTCTTTTCAACTCAAATTTCTTTACCTGTATTAATTCTCGGGTGGCCTTTCATTACAGATTATGAAACCAAAACTCCGACATACAAGAATAAGTATTTATTAATTAAGAATATAGATATATATATATATATATATAGATAGATAGATATATATATATATATATATATAAATAAAGAATGACTTGCACTTGGTGGTATTGCCTTTCAACAAATCATCATTTGTGATGACTTCACAACTTTTCAAAGTTGTCATATAAATGTTCTTAAAATGGCAAGACAAAGAACTTCCTTTATTCATGGTATTGATTATTTATTTATTAGCATTATAGTGGAAGAATGGTGTATTTAGTATTATTTGAGAAAATATATATAGACCAATGGTTGAAGAGTAAATCCAAGAATCATTGACACCTCCTATTAGCTCATCTACACAAATGAAAATATTTACTTCAATTGTAACATAAACTTGTCTCTTTATCAACTTCTTTATCCATAATAAATATGATTCTTATTAATATTAAAAATAGACTACTATAGAGGGCATCTTTATGTAGAACCTATGACTTTTAGGCTCATTCTTCATGCCCTCATGTAGTACTCTTCTAAAATTTTGGTCCATCTTTTTCTATCCTACTACCAATATATATTCTTAAATAATTTTTATACTAAAGTTCTCCCATTGCTCCTCTAATCTCCAAACATTTTTTTCTCTAAGTTATTCTCCTACTTTGACTCCTTCTATTGAGATTTAATGAACTTCTATTTTATTAGCTTAGCTAAGCAATACTAAAAAATAAAGTTAAAAATAGTTTTAACATTATCCATGGTATTGTATTGTTATTAAAAATATATATATAATACATATATATATATATATATATATATATATTCACTAAGAAAAAAATTATTTAATATAATTTATGTGTATGTATAATAAGTATTTTTTTTCTTGGTATTGTTTCAACATATATATATATGTGTATATATGTACATACTTACATGTATTTTAAATTTCTTTTTACTTCACACACACATGTTTTTATTCATAAATAAAAAATAAGAAATAAATAAATAGAAATGGGTCAAGTAGATAATCTCATATTGCAAAACATTCCTAGATGCAACTTGAATCTATAAGTGTCCTTGGTTGCACCATTTATCCATAAAAATTATACAATGGTTGTTAAAATATTTGTGTATATATATTTAATCATTTGAATGCTTGTGTTTAGTTACAACATTACACCAAATTCACATGCATCAATATATTAAGTTACATTCTACAAGTTTCTATGTGTCAGCAACTAAAATGTGATTGAAAAGACAGAATTGCAACTGAATTGTTATTGAATGCCTTATTTGTCAAGTTTTCATCATTTAAATTTTTTGAAGATATTTAACTTAATTAAAAGTCACACAGAACACTATAAAATAGTGTTTCGCAGCCCATCTAAGCATGAAAATAAGTTTTACAAGCTTTCATCAAATTCATCTTCAAAATAGGGATAAATGAACTGATAACATCTTCTTAAAATAATACAAAATTGCAATGTTTTTTCTTTTTCGTGAATATGATTTGTCTAAAAAGTGAATTTAGGATGTTGTCGAATTTGAAACTCATTGTTCTCCCTTGTCATGACTGTTTCACTACACGGTTTTGTAATGTTGTATATTAAGTGCTATTCTCTTATTTTTATATTTGATGACTGAATGAGGTTCAACCAAATTAAGTTTAACCATGTATTAAGCTAAAAGGTGCATACATCCATGATGTATGCTTTCCTCTTGACAAAAAAATTTCAACCCAAAAAAAAGCACTTCAAAAGATCTCACATGTAGGAAAAAGAAATGGATCGTAAAAAGCAAATAGTTACCAACCTGGAAATTATACCTTTGAGTACATTCTCATTATGCTCAGCATAATCTAAGCTGTACTAATTGAATCACCACCAACCTGTTTAGAGTGTTGCTGATCCTTTGCACGTTTAAGGATCTGCTGGACAGACCCATCTCTCCAAGTTTGAAACTTCGGCCAGGTTGAGACTGGAGACGGAATGAGGTTCCAATAATACACTACACAATTGCAGTGCACATCAGCAGTAGCTCTTGGTTCATCACAGAGGTCGCGTTTTTTCAGTAAAATCACATGGTAAGTTCTGTAGGGTTCTCAATGATTGCTGCAAATGTTTGCAAAAACACAGCTAGGTCTCCACCGTAGATGATTCTGTGGTCAGCGGTAACATTCACCTGGTCAACAAGCCCAATAAAGGTCAGAAGACCTTTACCGGTTTCAATATACACATTCCATATTGTGACATGAAATACAAAATTTCTTCAAGGCACTATTAAAATCTTGTAACCGTAAGTGCAGAAGTGCGAGAGGGCCCGACTACGACGGGAAAGATGCCAAACATAGAAAGGACATAGAGAAGGAGAAATGATACCGTCATCCTATTCTTCGCTCCAAATAAGCCATTTCCTGTGGCAACGACTGTGGGAACAGATGCTCCAACCGCCATGATTGCACCCTGTTCAAAGTTTCACACCATGTTTGGTCACCTAGATTCGATATGTGCAAATATTCAACCGAAGCAATTGAGCATTTGATAATGCTTCAACTCTTAACACACGAGTGAAGTGTATACTAACAAAGCAGCACAATTGTGCACAGATGAACATCTATCAAATTGTTCGTATTAATGAAACGCCTGGGAATTTAAATGCTATCAGGCGAGATTTGACCCCAGACAGGAGGATTCACTCACCATGCCGGGAGGGAGAATTGCATCAAATCGGTCTACTCCGAACATTCCAAGGTTCGATAGAACAAAGGTACCTGAAACCAAATACAAAGTTATCAAATACCAGAGGCAAGTCACCCAGGCTCACTAGATTAGCTGGGTTAAAAAAAGGAAGCCTGCAAAAGAATCAAAAGACTATCCCTACTATGATCCGAAGACAAGCTACATAAAATTCAAATCCACAGGTAAAAGTCAGACCTGAGTTGTACTCTGCCGGTGAAAGCTGCTTTGCGCGGGCCTTGTCAACAAGTTCCTTCCATGAGCGAGACAATGAGTAGATATCCACCTGCACAGTTGGAAGACCCAATTTGCCACACACACAGCGTCATTACGCTTGATAAAATCCACTACTAGAACATCACTCAGACGATCATCAACTAAGGCACAAGGATACTGCAATATCCTAGAAGGACGGAGTCCAAAACCGAGCTTTCTAAATCCTTCGAACCCTCCTGAAGTGCATTGCGATAAAACGGTTCAATTTCATTGATAACCGCAAAAGAGCTCAAAATTCCTCAAAAAAGTTCCTCTGAGCGACTTTATACCTTGTCGGCATTCTTGAGAACTGGGGTGAGAAGACCGCCGTCCATTGCAACGGCAACAGCAATGTTGATGTCTTCGTTGTATATGAAACTCTTTCCGTCCTTACAGCAGGCATTCACAACGGGATGCTTCGCCAAGGCAAGTGCACAAGCCTTAGCAAGAAGTGCAGTCATTGTCACGCCCTTCGACTTGATCTGATATCCAACAAAAACAACCTCACTCTCATTTAATCACAGTATTGAGAAAAAGGTGATGTCACTGAACCCGATAATTGCAAGTACCGGACCAGCTAATCCACTAAAGATTGTAGGCCGAGCAAGACATTTGCTGCAAGTCCTTACTCCACCAGAAATGACAGCACGGGCGACGTTAAGGATCTAAAGATAGAGGCTATAATAGCAATATGGTCGAAATTCAAAGTAGACAGCATGATATACACATACCTTCTTGTAGAGGGCGTCCAACGCATCAGTGGTGACAGTGTAACCGACACGGAACACGGGAACGGACATGCTGTCCACCATGTTGCGAGCAACACCAGCCTGCATTGATGTGAATGCCACCGAGCCGGCAGGAGCAGGGGCAGGGGCTGCAGCAGGCGCTACGGGAGCAGCGGGAGTGGGAGCAGCCGCAGCGGCAGGTTGCGCCACGGATGGGACAGAAGCTGCAACAGGGGCGGGGGCCTTGCCAGCAGAGGCCTCCACATCCTCGGCAACGATACGACCTGAGGGCCCAGAGCCTGCTACGGTGGCAAGATCAATATTGTACTGTTTAGCAAGCTTCTTAGCGTAGGGAGTAGCCACAATTCTGCCCGACCTGTATACCTCGGGAGCAGCGGGCTCTGGAGCAACCTGAACAGCTGCTACAGGTGGAGTGGCAACAGGGGCAGGGGGATGCAGAACTTTCTCCTCAACAGGAGAGGGCTTAGCAGCAGCTGGGGCCTTCTGTTCAGATCCCTTGGACTTAGCTTCGGCAATTTCTTCTTCGGTCTCCGCGAGCAGTCCAATGGCAGCTCCAACAGGTGCTGTCTCTCCCTCCCCAATCACAATTTTGGCCAGGAAGCCATCGTAGAACGTCTCTACATCCATGTCGGCCTTATCGGACTCCACCACCACGACGCTCTCACCTGATATAACCCCATCTCCCCTACTCCAATCAACAATACGATACAATGCAACTGATTCACCCAGCCACCACCCACATTGCTCACCAATCTAACCACCAAAATCAACCCTCTCACAAAATACAACTTGAACCAATTAAACCCCTCCAACGCCCATCTGATCACAAATATTGATCCAACCACCCACCCTCGCCAATGTGGGATACCCAAATCCGTAACAAGCAACAAATCCACGCAACAATACCTTTGGTAAGCTTCTCGCCTTCGGTCTTATTCCACGCCACGATTTTGCCTTCCGTCATGGTAGAGCTCAGCGCAGGCATGAAAATTTCCCGAATTTTAGCCTCCACTACAAGATTCACATTCCTCCTGCTCGTTCCGACCAAGACTGACCGGCGTGCAAGGACCCCGGAACTCCCAAAGAAAGTCGAAGAGCTCCTCAAGCTCGACGCCGGCGCAGAGGCAGCCAACGACAGATGCAACGAAGTCGCCATCGCTCACCACTACAGCAAACTCCCACTCTTCAACAAACACAAACTTCCAAACCCAGCTCTCGCGCACCTTGAGTTCGAGCCGGACGGAAGTGGCGATGGAGTTGCGAGGACAGCGATGAGAGTGAGAACCCGCAGGTAAGGTGAGGAATCCTCAAGAATGAGAGGAACAATTAGGTGAGAAAGGGGGTGATATGACCGAGGTAGGATTGGCTCGGTCTGACTTCGTTAGCATCCATGCGGTTCGGCCCAGGCTAGACTGGTCATGGTCGGAGGACTCCGCAGAATCTCTTGGACCTTTTTGATAACTGCTTGGCTTCATGGATAGACGCAACTAGTGCTCGTTAATTAGGGCTTGGATGAATCTCGGAACCTTTTCTCGCATTGGAACACCACACACTTGTAATTTAGCAAAATAGCGGGGTGAAAAGCGAATACACAGCCATCCACACGTGATTTACGTGAATACAATCCGAAAAAACAAACTCATTTTAGAGCCACAAAAATATCACCTAATTGTTTTTGTTTTTGTTTTTTAATTTTATTTTTTTTAACACAAAGTTTGGGAACAACTTCGAAATCTTCGTTTCGAGTTTTGAGAGTATTATCTGTCTGTTCCCTTGATTCTAAACTCATAATCTGTACGCATAACCTGATCTTCGCTGATCGTGATAACAAAATTTGGTTACATGTGAAAATCATGCGAAGGTGTTCTAGGTTCAACTTTTGGCATCAGGTGAAGGAGCGGAATTTAGGAAGCAGACTGTGAAATCCACGCGCAATGACCTACTTGCTATTGAAAACGGTACCATCTAGTACTTGGCTCGCTGTCGTAAATTCCACGTATGTTTTAACGACTCCAAGACAAACGTTGTGTGGGTTATCACTTGAACAAGCTCGCCGAAAGAACCACACTCGACGAGCTGGGTGGAGTTCTGACGGACATTCTTCGACTGCACAGAAGGCAGACTATTTGGACTATGACGCTGGTGCAATGATCGTTTCTGTTAGCGATTGAAACAGAGCTTGACTTAACCTTTGAATATAAAACAGATGAGATGAAATCTGTTGTAGTTACATGCAAACGGGGGTATTAGAGAAGGTTGCAGGCGGTTCTACTCCGGGTATGGAAAATTCCGGTACGTTGCGGTGGCTTCCATACAGAGTGGAGTGCGGTCTGTGCGCCGGTAGTATTCACTTCGTTTCGAGCATTTTCAGCGTCAGCCTGAGCCCCCGTTTAGCCGCACCCTGAGTTTGTCGCTACTTGCGGCTCTTTGGTTTTGCAGCTCCGGGGCTCTGCATTACTTGGCTTAGACACGTCCAGAGGTCGTCAGGTTGTGGTTTTTGCTGTTGGGTGCTCGTTGGGTGCGCGAATAGAGACGCTTGTTCTAGCGCAACGACGTAGAACGAGAGCTCTAAGTATGGCGGGGGCCATGCTGGGATTGGGTGGAGGTTAGCGTGGGTTGGTTCGGAGAGAAGTGGTGATGGAGGGAGGGAATTCTCTCGTTGCGGGGCCTGAGGGGAGGAAGCGGCGTGTGTCGTATTTTTACGATCCTGATGTGGGGAACTATTACTATGGGCAGGGACATCCCATGAAACCGCATCGCATTCGGATGGCGCATTCGCTATTGGTGCACTACAATCTGCACACGAGGATGGAGGTCCTGCGGCCTTACCCAGCGCGTGATCGCGACCTCTGTCGTTTTCACGCGGATGACTATGTGTCTTTCTTGAAAGAAGTTACTCCAGAGACGCAGCATGACCAGATGAGGCAACTCAAGCGCTTTAATGTGGGTGAGGATTGCCCTGTGTTTGATGGGCTGTACAATTTCTGCCAGACTTACGCGGGGGGCTCGGTCGGAGGCGCCGTCAAGCTCAATCATGGCCACAGCGACATTGCCATCAACTGGGCGGGAGGCTTGCATCATGCGAAAAAGTGCGAGGCTTCTGGATTTTGCTACGTTAATGATATCGTGCTTGCTATCTTGGAGCTTCTCAAGTACCATCAGGTATGATTTGGGGCTTCTCTGGTTGTTCAGTTTCTGTGAGGTGTATATTTTGGTCATAAAAATCACGAGAGTTTGGTGTTTAAATTTGTTGGTTTTCTGGGTTCATAAGTATTGAAGCAACTATTGTTGAAGTCTTTTAAGAATCTTTTATGAGCACTTTTAGGCTTTTGAAAAGCAATACATCACCAGTAATCTTGTTGCTCCTTAGCAGTGAACGATATTTGTTGATTGTTGCAATCGGTGTTCTTGGTGGCTTACCTCAAACCTAAAGGATCTTCCCGATTCTAGTTTCTTTGAAAAAATTCTCTCGATAAATTTTGAATCGTTGACCAGAGTTAAATCCTTGTAGTCGATATCGTGGCAGCAGACCGAGGAATTTTGTGGTGTTCACGTCTGTTCTAGCCACTGAATCTTCTAAAGTTGAGGCATTCTGTCCGTGTCAGCAACGTAGCTTTTATTATTGTGCAAGCAGTTTTAGAGGAGGTTCAGCTAGATCGGAAATGCTTCACTGACATCCCTGTTGTTGTAGTAGTGGGAGTTTACATACTTGACTGCATTTGGAGTTCTATACCATCAGTTTTAGTCTTTTCTTTTCTATTCAACTTTAGTCTGTTTGAAGAGTTGTTACAGCAGTTGTTCATTTGTAACGTTGATCAGGTTTAGGTTCTGTCGTGCGAGGTCGATTTTGGCGTGTATTGTACGAGTGTCATGTTATTTTCTTAGAAAAGGGATCTTAACTCGTTCTGCGGTCTTATTTATGATTCTTGTTACGATTCTTTCCTGTTTATTTTCGCTTCAGGAGCATTAATATTTGTGGCGACTTGTTCCAGTCCACTTCCACCTCACTTTAAAATTTCTAGTCTTGTAAGTTTCTTTAGCTGGATACATGTTTCAAGTATTCATACAAAGCTACCTGCTTAGTGCGATCATTATAACCTGCTGTGTCTAGATTCTTAAAATAATGTGTCTTCTGCTAGTAGGGAGTATTGGCTTTCTCAGTAACGGGCTTATTAAATAAGAACCTGTTTTATGTACTAATGAATTTAGCTTAGAAATTTGTGAGCTTTCTATGTCAGTGTGCCTAGGCCAGGTAAATGTCCTTGTTCTATCTTGTTCATGTATAAACACTGAACTCAAGTTGTGCATGCAGCGAGTACTCTATATTGATATCGACATACACCACGGAGATGGTGTGGAGGAGGCGTTCTATACGACTGATAGAGTGATGACTGTTTCTTTTCATAAATTTGGGGACTACTTTCCAGGGACAGGAGATGTTCGAGACATTGGTCATGGAAAGGGGAAGTATTATTCATTGAACGTTCCTTTGGACGATGGGATTGACGATGAGAGCTACCAATCGCTTTTTAAGCCCATCATGTCGAAGGTGATGGAAGTGTTTCAACCTGGCGCGGTGGTTCTACAATGTGGGGCCGACTCTTTGTCGGGTGATCGACTTGGCTGTTTCAACTTGTCTGTAAAAGGCCACGCAGAATGTGTTCGATTTATGCGGTCTTTCAATGTGCCGTTGCTGCTTGTAGGCGGTGGAGGTTATACAATACGCAATGTTGCTCGCTGTTGGTGCTATGAGGTCCTACGGAACTTCCTCAACTCATTTCAATGTTTGTTGTAGTAAGATAACGAAGCACAGGAGTTTTAGCTGCAGTATGTTTTGGATGGCTTGGTTACACCATATGTCAACTGTTTGGGAGCTTTGAATTCTATTGGGATTTCATTATTTTCTTAGGGATATCTGAGCTGCTCCACTGCTCCAATATCTAATGCATCTTTTGGTAGTTAATATTAGAGCAAGCTAGAAAAGTTTTGAAGAGTTGCCGACGGACATAATTCCGAAGGGCACTAAATTTGCTATTCAAGCTATATGGTGGCCTTCTGGAAAACGTAGACTTAATTTTCACCAGAATTTTATCTTTATTATTTCGAGTAAATTGACGTTGTGGTTTGTTGCGGTACAGACAGCTGTGGCAGTAGGAGAAGAACTAGACGACAGGTTGCCTCACCACGAATATTATGAATACTTTGGGCCTGATTATTCACTGCATGTCGCACCGAGTAACATGGCAAATCAAAACTCAAAGAAAGATATTGATAATTTGAGGTTAGCATTCAGACTTTGCTAGCCAATGTGCTTAAGAAGTGTACTGCTTCTGGTATTCGGAAGTCGTTTGATCAACAGCTAAAAATTTACTCTTTTCCATGGCAAGCCGGAATTGTTCTTTGATCTGATCCGTGGATGTTTTGCGCAGGATGAAATTATTGGAGAACTTATCAAAATTGCAGCATGTTCCAAGTGTCCCATTTTCCGAGAGGCCGCCAGATACCGAACTTCCTGAAAATGTATTTGTAGCTTTCAAACTCAATTTGTCTTTCGAATGTGCTTTTTGGATCATGCAGGTCTTCCACGAACTTATTTTTATGACGATGGATAGTCTCACCCTCATTATTGAGTGCAGGAGGATGAAGATTTGGAGCTTCGTGATAAAGGTCGTACATGGGATGGCGAATTATCGGACTCCGACTCTGAGGATCATGATCTAAGACGACGCAATCAGGGTGTATTTGCTAGTGAGACAGCATTTCCAAGGTCAATAACTTTTCATTCAAACTGCATGTGACATTGTTCAAGTAGTTATGCTATAAATGCCATGCATGTTGATGAGAGCATTTATCAAGCGAGCTTAGGTTTGTTTGTTTTTTCTAGCCTTTTCCCTGCGTATACTTTTTTTACATTTTTGTATTACTCCCATGTAAGCTCTTCTCCCCTTTTGAGTTGCTCTTGCCATCTTTGCTCTCAAGCTCTCATGTGTCTTTGTTTTTCTGTTTATTATGAAGAGTGTTAATCTATTAGGAAGCTTATGGTTTTCTTCTCTTTGAACGCAGAAGACCCCCACCACTGGGTTCAACTAGGGGGAAATCTGAGGAAGAGATTGGTGAAGCAATGTCCTCGGTCAGTTTTATCCCTTCTCTTAGACCCGGAAGAGCACCTTATGAGTATCAGTATTTAAGTGTGAACCGTTAACTTTAAGACGTCACTGTTCTCAATCTTCAACATAATGTTTTGTTCATTTGTTCAAATTTAGGACGACGAGATCGATATGGAAGATGAGGCTCGAAAAGGCCCCGAGGACACCAAAGATGCTGCTGAGGAGGTAATGTCATACTCACTGCGCTTTCATCAAATAGAGTTTGTTCCTTGTCATATGTTTCTTTTGGTGAATTTAATGCTCACAGCAATGGTTTCTTTGTTAACCATATCCTAGCTTAAAAACTCTTGGAATACTAATTTGGGATTCTTCGGGAATGTCAAACTTTGAGTTAATCCTTGAAGAACCCTTCTTTATGTTGTGCAGGGCTTTATGGTTCTCTATTGTGTTATTTTTGTACAAATCACCAAAGCATTCCTTCACTATTCTTAGATGTAACTTTATGTCAGTCTAAGAACTCGTACTGAATCTAATATTAGTATTGTTTTACGAACAGCACGTGGAAATGGATGTGGATCCAGCGGTTGAGGCTGGACCCGAGGATGAGACACCATCCAATATTGAAATGGGTGGAGCACCCCAGGCAGAGCAAGCAGACACTTCTGCAGGAGCAGCGCCCGCAGTAGCAGTTGCACCACCAACGACCACAACCAATGTTGACAGAGAGAGCAGCGTATCCACAGCTGCACCTTTCCTCTTGCATCCCTCTCCTTCAAGCACAACTGCTGCCGTAAAGCCGGCTGCATCCTCTTCGGGTAGGGTGACAGAGCGATCAACCGTCGCCCCTGCTGCAACAAACTTCAACCAAAGTAATTCATTTGGGGGCGCACCCAGTTTTACCCAAAGATCATACGTCCCGCCCCAGCCAAGTGCGGGGTCGAATATGCCCTGGCGACAGTCTCAACCTGGAAACCATGCAAAGACTAGTAATCAATCCAACAATTCACATAGCCTTCCCCAAGCTGGTGTTCCACTGGGCATCAGGGCAGGCCCTCCGAGTCAGGCTGGAGGAGGAGCATCTGTTCCGGGCTCTGGCTCTGGAATTCTGTCTCGTTCTAGTGGAAACCCAGTTCTACCTCCTGGTCGGCCAGGTGCTCCAGGCCCTGGTTCCTATTCTGCAAGACCTGCAGGACCAACCAACCGGTTTGCTTCCACCATCAATCCAGGAGCTAACTTGGGAGAGCCTGCACAAACTGACAGCTGATTGTAGAAGATTATTGATTTCTATCAATTAATGGACATAATCCACCCGATGTCGATCTGTAAACAGAAAAAGATTTTCCTCATGACTCTAGCATGATCTCAGCCTAACAATGGATTCACATGAAGTGTAAATTAATACAATTTCAGTGAATTTAATGTGTGCTCATTTGTTCACGCGGAAGCTATATCTCCAGGTTAAAGCATGATTTGGAATTAAAAAAACGAACGAACGAACGAAAAGAAGAAAAAAAAAAAAAAAAAAAAAAAAAAAAAAATCTCATCATGCTCAATACCTTTTTGTGAGGGCAACATTTAACCAGTTCTGGTCTTGGTTGGTGTCTGATTTCACTGGTTTTATTTTGAGGACAGGAAAAATTGTAAAACTTACATCCAGTCTAATAGTAGGTGGTTCTGACATAAGCAATTCATGCAAGATTATATGGACAAATAAATAAACACATATATATATATATATATATATATATGTGTGTGTGTGTATAAAACTCATGTTCTTATCATTATTCTCCAAAGAAGTTTGATATTGAGTTGGTTTGGTTACCAACTCAATACCACTTCACTTAAAATATCATGACTTCATTTACATGATAATTGAGACTTGTATGACAATTTCAAAGTAGTTATCTTACAATCTTAAAATATAATAAAAACTTAGGATTATAAAAAGTCATATTCTACATTTTTTTTAAATAAAATAGTAGTAAAGATCAAATTAAAGTTAATCTTCTCAATAAAAATTACAAATTTTAATTTGTACATATGTATGTAGTTATTACTATCATAAAATTAAACATATTAATCAAACTGGTACTTCAAATTGTTTTACACTTAGTAACTTCTTTACTCCCTTCATGGTTTAATTTGAATTACTAGAGTCTTTAAGTTTGTATGTATTTTAAACTGTGTTTTACAACATTATTGTAATTGTTTTGATTCTTTATTATATTAGATTTGTTTTGAATATATTTTTTTCAAGTTTGAATTTACTAAGTGTACTCATATATGTATAATAACAATAATAATGATAATATATTGATGGTTACTTCTTCATAAATAAGATATGTTTTACCATCAAAACTTATTGAAGAAGCATTTCAAACAAACTTTCTAATAAAGCTTGTCAATCAAGCCACTACAAGAAACTTCCTGCCAAAGCTTTACAACAAGACTTTTTTATTCAGCTACTTATTAATATTCAAAACACTCCATTCAAAACACAGAAAACCATTCATCGTTTACCCAACGGACCAACCAAAGCCAAGAAACCTTCAATTGAATGGATCAACAATTATGCAACGACACCTCTTGCGGAGAAGGAAGACCAAGTCGGTACCGACACCGCGTGATTTTCTTCGGCAAGGTGGCAGAATTCTGAGCGAGGTTGCAAGCAGAAGCGGAGTGAAAGAAGGAAAGGAAATCTACAGCAACGCATTCAAAAAGCAAACTACCCAAGGGGCAGAATCACAGACTGGTCTCTTCAGATGGGCAGATCAGCTGGGTTTTGTGTCAAATCTCCGGGCTGTGGATAGATTTTCGGCACAGAGATTTGGGGAGTGATGAAGAAAGCTGTAAATTTGAGAACTGGGTTTTGATTTGAAGTTGCGCATCCATCCGTTTTCCACGAGTAGCGGGGACGAAACAGCCACATTCATCGCATGCTAAGGTCAGTTTCCCTCCGTTTATGGCCTTGTTTGGAGCTCCAGCGCTCCCCTCTCGTGCGGATCCAGGCTAGTGTTTGTCGTTGCGGAGGGATTTGTTGCATTGGATTTTACAGGAGATAATCGCTAGGTTTGTGAGCACTTCTTTCTAGGGTTTTATATCCGCTCCCTGAATTTTTTTGGTGTGCCTTTGCGCTTGTTTGATAGTTTTTTTTTGGTGATAGGCTAAGACAGAGCGCCTCAACCATGTTTCATATACTTCGTTGGAATGGTCATGGAGAATGTTTGGGGTGATTGAACCTGTTGATAGTTTTTTCGCGATGCTGTTTCTTTTAAATTGCTGATGTGCAGCTGCATTTTGATTTTTTTATAGCGTTACTGGTTTGCTGTTCTTCATTCTGTCTTGGATATGTTTTATCATGTTTATTTTTTTGGTTTTATACGTGTAAGGGATGTGAGCATGATTCTATAATCTGATATCGTCGTTGAAGTTTCTTGAGATCGTCACTGCGGGTTTTGTAGCATTAGTGATCATTGTATGTGTAATTCGTGAGGATGATGCTGATTTCATTTGCTTGATGCATTATGTACAGATGATTTGTACTTTTGGAGGATCTCTAGGGTTTATGGGCTGTTTATCAGTCTAAGTGATGTAGCCTTGTCGCAGGAGCTGGTTGGAATACGGAGCTTGTATTGACATTGTATCATGGATGATCAAATTCATGTCAATTTCATGGCTTTGAAGTATCAGGGTGTGAATAAGAATTAGGAAAAAAAATAGTTTTCGAGGCAGAAATCATGGCAGGGAAAAAATCTGCCTTCGAATTTATGATGGGGAACGCCCGGAAGGGCAGTTCCAAAGAGAAGGGTTGCCCCTCGGCATCATTGGCTGAAAAGGCCAAAGAGGTAATTAAGGAGTCTGTGAAGGAGACTATCAAAGAGGAGGCCGATGAGAAGATGGAAGACATTTCGGTGATGGATATTGATGTGAAGATGGAGGACAAGAAAGTCATAACCTCTTCAACCACAGACTCGGTAGCGCCATCAACCAAGGAGGCTAAGCGAAAGGGTCGGCCTCCGGCATCGTCAGTAGCAAAGGCCAAGCAGGTTGTTAAGGAGTCTGAGACGGCGACCATCAAAGAGGAGGTTGATGCGAAGATGGAGGAGAAGAAAGTAGTGGCGTCTACAGCTGCCGAAGCGGTCGTGCTATTAACCAAGAAGGAGACAGATTTTGACCCTGAAGCTGCTGCATTCTGGAAGCCGGGGCAACCCGTGCCATTCTTATTTCTTGCCAGCGCTCTTGATAGTAAGTTTTGAATGGTTGACCACAATGGCAATGAAGTGGGTCCTATTTCACGTCATTCTATTTACATGTTTGATCCTGTAAAACCGCGAAATCCACGTACAATTTGAGGACCTTATAGTGATGAAGTATATTGTTTTGGTTCAGAGGAATAAATTTTAAATACTAACTCGCACCAACTTCTGTGTGTTTGTCTCTGTTTCCATTTGAGCAGTCATTTCAGATGAGTCAGGGAGGCTAGCAATGACGAATATTTTGTGCAATGTATTTCGGACGGTTATTGCAACCACGCCGAAGGATCTCCTGGCAGTCGTGACCTTGTCAGCAAATAGGATTGCTCCAGCTCATGAGGGTGTGGAGCTTGGTATCGGTGATGCGGCCATTGTCAGAGTCCTTACTGAGGCGTATGGAAGAAAGGCTGACCAAATTAAAGCTCAGATGAAGGTAGGTCTCAATTTTCAAGGCTATTAAGCAAATAGTAAAAGGACAAGTTAAAATATGAGTTTGAGTCCGGAAACATTATCCAAAGTCGTATTATTCTTGTTTATTCTTCGTGGAAGATTAAATAACTTGTTACAAGGAATTCCGATGCGGGTCAAATCTAAGAAGGGCGGTTGTGCTCTTACATCATGATAAGAGCATGTCTCATTCATGAATTTCAAGTTTCTGTCTGAGCAGTGTAACATTGGAAGTGAATGCAGACATTGGGGGACCTTGGTCTCGTTGCAAAGGCTAGTCGAACTTCGCAGAGGACCATGTTCAAATCACAACCCTTGACGTGTGCAAAAGTACTGGATACATTTCGCGAGATTGCTAAGGTAGGCATAGCACCATATATTTACAGATTTCATTGATTTCTTCTGGCATCAATTTTTTCATTCGCAAAGAACTGATAGCAGAATACCTTGGATTATCCTTCTTGATATTTTCACCACTAAAAATCACCACTTAACCGTCACAGGATAGCGGCAACCAGAGTCAGGACAGGAAGCGTGGAAGAATGAAAGCTCTTCTTGTAGCAGCCACAGAATGTGAGCCATTATACCTTGTCCGCCTGCTTCAGGTATGTTGTTTACTCTCTGACTCCGTTATAACCTATTCATGTTTTGGAATCAATTAACTAACCACAATTCAATATGTTACTTATACACAACGTTATCATGTTGAATCTGCTTTGTATAGTCCAAACTACGCATAGGTTTGGCAGAGAAAACCGTGCTAGCAGCTCTGGCGCACGCAGCGGTGCTTTCTGAGGTCCCTCGAGTTCCTGCTAATCAGCTGACTGCTAGGTTAGAAGAGGTACATGTTCTTCCCCCAAATTATGCTAACTCACTGCTATTGTAAAGCAAGGCTTTTGGCATCGTTTGTGAATGAGCATTGGTTAGTGAAAAACCACTATCTACACGAGGGAGGAAGGTCCACAGTCTTTGTTTGGTCATCTCGACATGTTGAGATTGTCACAACCTTGAAAGAGTGGTGGTCAATGTTTGTAGAAATGATTTGGTTACACTGCAATATGTTCTATGTTTTTGAGTCGATGTGATTTGAGATCTGCACGTTAACTTACGACAACTGATTTGTTGTGCAGGCGGAAGAAATAATGAAGGAAACCTACTCAGTGCTTCCTATATACGAAAAGATTATAAGCGCAATATTAGAACATGGTATCCGCAAGCTACCTGAAGTTTGCAATTTTACTTTGGGTATACCTGTTGGACCTATGCTAGCTAAGCCTACAACCGGGGTTTCTGAAGTTCTCAACAAATTTCAGGACATGGAGTTTTCATGTGAATATAAATATGACGGTGAAAGAGCTCAGGTTTAATCTTCCGCTCGAAACTGTTAGAAGACTTTATGCTTTACTTTCTTCAGAGAAATTCTTAAGTTATAAAGCATCCTGCAGTGCTGTTTGTTGAGTGATCTGTACTCGTTATGAATCGCAGGTACATTATCTGCAAGGGGGCACAATTGAGATATACAGTAGAAATGCTGAACACAACACTGGGAAGTTTCCTGACATCGTTGCAGCAATGCCCAGGTATATCCTACCCGAATTAAGCTGTCGGTGAACGATCTGAGTGCCATTGTAACTTACATCAATCAATAAGTATTTGCTCGACGAGGCGTATATTGCATTTACAATTTATGAGTACATGCAGGGAGTATTAGTTGGTAATTTCATGTGACTTCTTTTTTCAAAGCTTCTCAGGGTGCGGTTCACTGGTGTGATTGGTCATGGCGTTAATTTTGCCCTGAAGCTCCTTGTTATCTTAATTAGTCAATGCAGTAAGTCAATTTGTCTAGAAATCATTCAGACCAAGTTCTTGCTCAATGTTTTTATGGCATTCTCCAAAATAGATTCTGAAGAAGAGGGCTGTCCAGAGGCGCCGCTAATGAGCACCACTTTCACTTGCAGGTGTATGAAAACTGGAACTGAAACATATGTACTTGATTGTGAAGTAGTCGCTTACGATCGAGAGAAGAATAAGATATTGCCCTTTCAGGTGAATTCTTTTCCCTTACTGCATGAAATTACTTGTATAATGCTCTTTCTTGAATCAAAGAAGAAAGATGTTGCTGGAGAGATAACAAAAAGTAATAACACTCTTACTTCCAATTACAACGTGATAGTTCCTACACTTTTTGCACAATTAGGTCAGGCGTGAACAAGATCCCTTATGCTGCATTTCATGAACTCACCGCAGGTTTTGAGCACCCGAGCTCGAAAAGGGGTCGTGTTGAGCGACATCAAAATACAAGTGTGTCTTTTCGCGTTTGATCTTCTGTACCTGAATGGCCGTCCATTGTTGAAGGAGCAGTTGAATGTTCGAAGAGAGGTAAACCCGGCTATCACGACTTCTTATTGTAGTGTTGAAACTTGAATTACTAGGGATTTTCCTCCTTGTGCTTTTAACTGGTTTTTTCTTCTCGTATGTCTCATCCAAATGGTTTAATCGTTTTTTGAGGTACAGTTGCTGTACTCCTCGTTTCAAGAGATACCAGGAGAGTTTCAGTTCGCAACTGCAAAGAACTCAAATGATTTGGAGGAGATTCAAAAGTTTCTAGAAGATGCTATAAATGACAGGTCTGTTAAACTTCACCTGGCGTTCTTCAAAGTGTGTGTCAGCTGTGTCATTGTTTGCGTTATCTGTCGTAAAAGCTTGTTATTTAGCTTCAGCATATTACAACGTTATCAGCATTTTTTCTGTAACGATTCCATTTTTTCTACCAGCTTTAGTTGTCCCTGACTGCATGGCCTCTCTCCATTACAAGAGATTTTGAAGGAGGCTGTGTTATTGTAATTTAGAGTAATGACGGGTGGTCTTTTGTACAGTTGTGAAGGGCTAATTGTGAAGACATTGTCAAAAGACGCAACTTATGAACCTGCTAAGCGTTCGAACAATTGGCTCAAGCTCAAGAAAGATTACATGAATACGTACATTTCTTCAACTCTGAAATTGATTGTATCCACCCGTTTTTAGATTTTTGTTGTGCACCAACAGATCTAGGCTTGGGTCATCAAGTTCCTCGATAATTTTGATTATGTGAAGAAGTCAATCGAATAGCTTATAACTGATACTTAAGCACATGTTCTCTCTCCCTCTTCCTCCCTCCAGAAAAGAACCATTAATAAAGTTTGGCTTAGCTTCAGCCATAAATCTGACTTTGGTGTTGGCTCCTGCTAAAGTGGAGGTGGAGATTCCTTGGATCTTGTACCGATTGGAGCGTTCTATGGTCGTGGAAAACGCGTCGGTATGTGCTAATACCTGGCTTTGATAAATTGTTTCTCAGATTGCAATCTTTTTAGAGGAAAAAACTGATAATGGCGCACTATTGTCGACACTGCCTTTTCACTTTCATCTTGCAGGTGTTTATGGCGCGTTCTTGTTGGCATGTTACGATGAAGATCGGGAAGAGTTTCAAAGCATCTGCAAAATTGGTGAGCGAGTGAATTTTTATGGACTTCTCTCATCTTCTCGTACATAAAGAAAATGACACATATACTTAAATAAGAAAGAATCGCTTCCCTAGATCTTGAAGGCATCATAGATCTGCATGGGGGATATGAAGCAAAATAATATAGTCAGGATGAAGAAGATGACTTTGTGTGTTGATTGACACGAATTCAAATCATGGAATTTTGGTCATTTGCCAGACATCAACTGGGTGTGTAGTTAGACGCCGTCATACTGTTTTGTACTTTCTGAAAAGATGAAAGGTACACTTTTGCTTCCTTGTCGGAAAGAAGATTACATGTTTTTATCCTTTCAAAGACAACAAATCGGAAGGAAACCTTCAAAATTCCCAAGTCTACCTTACGATATGCTACTTACTGGTGTGTCTAATATAACATTCTCCTAGTTTGTAAAGCGTGTTCAACAACGGAAAATGGGTACTGGGTGTTTCTCAGGAACGGGATTCACAGAGGCTGTGCTGGAGGAACGTTCTGTGACCCTGAAGAATCATGTCATACCTCAACCGAGGGTAAATTTTGAAATCAACACTCTTTATGGTCTCATTTTCATCAATTTTGAGCTTTCTATTGCATTTATGGACCTTATTCATGAGATCTCTGTTGATGTACCGCATCGGTAGGACAGTGTGAGTTCTGCACATTCGAGACTGGAAATCTTTTTTATCACATATTTTTCTCCTCTCCTCTCCCTACAGCAACATTCTGAGAATGTTTGAGGGTACATGACTTTTTTGAGATCATACATGTGTTGTTTGTGATACGGGCAGTACTATTGCCGATGGTAATATTCCTCTCCATAGTAATAAAGATATTTATGATTGCCATGATGAGTGACATGTCAGCAGAGGTGCTTTGATATTAATGTACTCTAGCTGTGCCCACTCCATTGTTTGCAGTCCTATTACAGATATGGGGAGACAATTGGAGTAGATGTTTGGTTTGAAGATGTTGAGGTAACAAATGTCATTTTTTCAAGTTTGTATTCCTCTGCATTTATTCTTAGCACTGTATGTGAATGATCTTTGCTCCATTTCTGATTTGGGTGCTGATTAAAACATTTTTATTAAAAAGGTGGTTGGCGTCATTATGCATAAAGCTTCAAGAACACTTGGAAAGTGCACAAGATTTAGTTATCGAGGTCTTTTCTATTCTTTACAGTATCATCTATGCTCATATTTATTTGGTTTCGGCAGGTCTGGGAGGTGAAGGCTGCTGATTTGAGTATTAGCCCTGTCCATCGAGCAGCTGTGGGATTGGTTGATCCCAATAAGGTGTGTATCTCTCTGGTCTTATTTTGTCTCCAATTTTTTTTTTTTTGTGTGTGACAAATATTGTGCCCAAGGAGACCAAATATCTTCACCAAATACAGTCCCACTTTTATGTCTGATGCAGGGGATTTCGTTGCGTTTTCCAAGGTTGATGAGATTACGGGAAGATAAAACGCCTGTTGAAGCGACTTCAGCACAGCAGGTGTGGACACGCGCTGTAATTATAGAAACAGAAAAATTCTGTCTGCTGTATGCTGTCACTCAAGATAAACGAATTTATACCGTTGAATCTTGCTAGAAGTCCTGAGTCATGCTCTTCAAATCAGCGTAATGTCTCAAGTGTATAATGTTTAGATTTACAGGACTCCGTTCTTTGTGCTACCACAAGGCGTGTACCTGATTGACTCAACAGTTAATGCTTGACGTTGTTATGCATTATTGAGGAATTGGATGCCAACGAAATAGCCTAATTCGGCTCTGTAATGCAGGTCGCAGAAATGTATCGAGCTCAGAAGATCAACCATGGCCATGGTGGAGACGCCGACGATGACGATGATTAGCATTCTTCAGTTAAACTCATCGCTAACGGCTAAACAATGTTGTGCTGCCTACGGGCTGTCAAGAGACCAAGTGATCAGCACACGTGAACGTTTCGAAAAAAAACTCCAGCAGCAATGCGCAGCAATGGAACCTCAGCATACTTATCAAGGGAGCAACTTGCGTAACAGTGGTGATGATATCCTGCGATGCTGCCACATCAAAGCAAATGTCCTCGGATAGATAGAATGCCTACATATTATAGCTTGGGACAGATCCTCCAGACGAACCTTCTGAATTCCTGACACGTCTATTTTCATGCAATTGAAATGCTAAAGTGTAATTAGCCTGAATTGTTTCTCTTGAAAGCTGCTTTCAAACTAGATTCCTACTCTGTGGAAGTAGACATTCTAGAATGACACTCTGTCATTTACACACAGGAAGGTGTCGATGCATGTGTTATTTTCAGCCAAACAGAAAGCACTGTAGCTTCATCAGCAGTTGGGGTGTTGCATAAAACGCCAGATTTTGGAATGAACCATTTTCAACTGACACTATAAACAACTCTGTGTTCCTGGATCTTCCGGATATGCTTCTCCTGGTCGATCGTTCTTCAAAGCTGGCGGCTTACGCAACGTGCCCCTTGACCCACATTTATTAAATGCAATAAAAGGATGCATAACACTGTTTTGGATGTGAAGCTGCAAGCACCGTAATGTTCGGCATGCTTTTTGTGAGTATTAATTTAATTTCCTGCAGTAGAATACTTCCAACAACGCCTGGATATTTTTTCATACAACTCCACATGGGCGCAATGATCAACTGCTGGAAACAGTGTTGTATTAATTTGGGAAGTTGAGATTTCTGATTTAAGGATGAGATTTTGTGAAAAATTGTTCTTACTAATGTATTCTCTTGATTATCGAGGAGTATTAAATCAAATTCTAAATCGACCGACTACAAATATTTTAAGATTTAAATATCTAAGGTTTCTCTTGGCGGTTGTGAACAATATGTACCAAGTAATGGTGCCTCACTGGCAAGAAGACATCCAAAAACATTTGCTTGAATTACTGAATTAACAGACAAGTTAGGTTAGAAAATCCTCCATTGCAACAAAACTAAAACCAGCCATGAGAACCCTCGGAGCAATGTCAAACTAAAAAATCTTGTGGTGGATTGATTTTTGATTTAGGTGGGTCAATTTAATGTTCCCCTTGTTTTATTGTCTTTCAATTATATATATATATATATATATATAGATAATTGAAATCAGTATTAATTCTCAAATGCACCTGAAATCAATGATTGGAAATGTTTTCAGTTTTGTTTATAAATTATTGTGATTATTGTACACAGCAGAAGAATGTGTGTGTATATAAATATATATTGCACATCTGAAATTGTTACAAGCTTGGTATGGAAATATGTGTTACTTGATACATACAAAAGCAATAATCTAAAATATGTATATATGTACATGTATTACTTTTTTACACGTGCATATTTGAAAAATATGTGTAGCAAAGTAATTTTCTTATTTTTGTTACCAAACATTGCACTTTAAAACCTTTATAACAAAGTCATCATCATAGCATCCCCATATTTTTCACTTATTCTAATAAAATTTTGATTTACATATATATATATATATATATATATATATATACGGCAAAAACATTGTATGACCTGTCAAATCTCTTCTAAAATTATTTATCCAATCAGTTTTCCTTCATTATTCAATTGTTTACTTTTTAAATTGAGCCCAAAAAATTTAATCTACATAATTTTTATGAACCTTTGAGACTCAAACTTGCAATACGAATATAATATACATTTAAATCTACCAACAACAAAAATATTATTATCAACATTCAAACACAAGCCAATGGTGAGAGACACAAATTCAATCACCAAGTTCAACATTCTGCCAAAGCATGTGGAAACCTTGCTGCCTATTCTGAACAAATAAAAGAGCGCGCATTTTATAAAAGTCATATTCCTTTTTAGCAAAATAGTTATTTATAATAACCCACACACAACTAAAAATCTAAATATAGCCACGTAACAAATATAAATATGAGAAATATCACATTACAATAATTCAAAACACAGTTTAAAAAAGGCTCAACTGTTCATGTTTTGATGTAAAAGTTCCTGACCATGTTAAAGTTTTAAAATTAAAAAATATCCTTTAGAAAGGTTTTTGGATTTGGGCCAATCCTGCTGCTCCGCGTTTCAAAAAGACAAGCTCATGTGCGCCCCACATTAGCCGGTCCCTGGTTGGAAGAAATGTGCCGAGCTGGCAAATCGAAATGGCGCGCTATTAATGGCCCAACCGCTCACACTAGTCACTTGTGCATGGATGTACGATCTCCACGCATCATTCATCAAAATCCCACAAACTCACACACATATGGAAACATTATTCATCCATATACTCATATTCATTCGTCAATAAGACCCCAGGTTGCGGCATTGTGAAAACTCCGTGACCGGGAAGCGGATCCGGTGCTCATCAAGCGGCGACTCATGGGAAAAGCGAGTTGCGGAATCTTCCCTGGCGCTATTGCATCTCGGGCGTCGGCGGCTTGTAAGACAATAAGAATTTACACAACAGGCGCATCAGAATGACTCGATTTATGAGGTGGATTGTGGAGGAAATTGATGAATCGCTACGCCGAACCTACGAGGCTCGAAAACGCAGAATTCTCGCATCGGAATAGGGGTTTCAGATCGTCGTGTGTTTTTACGGCCAGTCCAATAATGGAATGCGTGGTTGATCTTTACCTCGGCTCACGTTGTGGGTTTGTTGGATTGGTGGTCTTGGTTGGGTTCCTTGTCGAAGCTCGTCGAATACGGAAACAGCGGCACATTTCCACATCATTTCGATGTGAAAGTGGGTAACTCACAAAGCAATAAATGAGCACTGCCACCAGTTCTCTGATGGATGTTGCCAGGTGGGTCGTTTTCAGTGCAAAAATATGATGACGATTCCGGAAGGGAGGGCACTGCTGAAAACGGAAGAAGGTTAATCCAAGAGGGTCCTGTGTGTGGAAACGAGGCAAAGGCTATGACGATGGCGATGGGGTTTCGGTGCCAGATAGTTAAGCATCGCTTTCCATCCCATCAAATCAAGTCAACGAATGGAGGTCGGGAGCCTAATATGCTTCGTCCGGGGACCAGGTTTAGGATCGCCCCACCACAGCATCATTTGCAATTCACTATCGGGAGGAACGCTCGCACTTGCTGACCTGGTACCAGTACTCGTGCAAGCTGCGTTCTGAGATTTTTCACCTGAGTGCAGTTGTGAGCTTTTGGATTCCCGAGGGGATGAAACCCTAAACATCTGACAATCCGTCCCAGGCTTTGTTGTGTTCCGGCCTGGCGGGAGTTGGGAAATTCTAACGACATCCTCGCCGATCAGGGCCAGCACCTGAGTTGCATCGCTCATTTCTTAAGGCCCTCTGCTCTGCAAACGCCTGCTGTGTCCCCCAGCGCCAGGCGGGAAAAGGTTGCCGGCCTCGCCTTCTCCCCCCTTATTTTCCTCTTAGATCTGAATCTTAACCTTCATTAGGTGCTGCTTGAGTTCGCCGCGAGCTTGACTTCGCAGGAGTAAACGTGGTGTGCTGGATCGGGTTTGATGCACGTAACATGGGCATTGATAATCTGTCAACGAGTGTGGGGTCGTGGTTTAATGGGGTTAGTGGGTTCTGGAGGGTGACCTTAGTAACACAGAAGTAGTGGTTTTGCTTTAAATATGGATTTCAAGTTCTGCAGCGACGATTCTTTCGTCTTTCTTGATGGTGTTGAGTGCATTCGCATAGCTGGTATCCTGGTTGTGTCTGAAATTGTGTCTCTGGATCTGAACATTCTCTTGGCCGGTGTTGTGGTGTTCAGAAGCTTGAAGCGAGGGGCGATCACCCTGTACTCTTTTAAACTGGAGCCTTACGTTTTGTTCTTCTACTCCGTCCAACCTCTACTAATCTTCTAAGTACGACATTCACTGCAATCTTGATTACCTCAGTAAACGGAACTTTGTTGCATGCAAAGTACTCGTCTCCCAACAGAAGAAAATGTGGGGTTGTTTTCGATGGGAACCATTATTTGCATTGACATTGACGTTTCCAGTATGGGATGACCTTAAGAGGTCTAGTCCTGACGGAGCTGTCACTCTTGAATTTGTTAGGTAGAGTTCGAGGACGTAATCAGAGATGACAAGTCTTCTGAAGAAAAGTGCCAGCAAGGTTGGTAGCCGAAATCTGGACGAGTCAAGCACGGTTGAGGATGCGAACGCCAGGGTATAACCGCAAAGCTTCTTCTAGCCGTTCTTCAGATGTTTGGATTTTCAACGAGTCACGCATGCCCGCTTAACCGATCCTTTTCTGTGAAAATGGCAATGAAAAGAAATCCTGTCAGGACTGGATTCCTGTACATGACAGTGTTTGGGAAAGTCTACATCATGTCCTCATGTTTGTTTTCTGGCTTGTCTGATGAGTAACTTCGCAAGGGTTTCGTATCTATTATCACGCGTCTTATTACTTTCGCTTACAAGAAGGGTACCTGACAAAGGCGTTATTTTTGGTACAGATCATTGAGCTCCGAGCATCCATTGGGACGCTGACTGGCCGTTTAGATCAGTTCGCCGATGATGCTTGCCTCAGGCGCTACTTGAGGGCGCGTAACTGGAACATCAAGAAGGCTGAGAAAATGTTGAAGGACACCTTGGCATGGAGAGAGAGCTATAAGCCCGAAGACATCCGCTGGGTGCGCTTCTATTTATCTATTTACGGGATAACACTGAACATGGACTTGTTCTACCGTTGATTCAAGTCCAACAGTTAATAAGCGCTGCGGTTATTTATTAATCGGGACCTGTCCCGGTATGTAAGACTGGATATTCTAATTTTTTTCCTGTGCTACACAGAGTGATATCGCTGGAGAATCCGAAACTGGGAAAATATACCGGGCCAGCATCAAAGACAAGAATGGGCACACTGTCCTTGTAATGCACCCTGGTCGTCAGGTGCTCGTCCGTTTCAAACCATCATTTTATTCGTTTCTCAGGGGTTTTGTCATGGTCCATCGTGGTGATGTTTGATATCTCGTTTTTTTGTTATCGGTTGAATCATTTGAATTTCTCTTGTGGTGTTTTGTGCATTCTCTCCAAATAACCGAGCAAGATTTCTGGCATGTCCCAGAATACGAGTAATCCTGAAATGCAAATTAAGCAGTTGGTCTACTTCTTGGAGAATGCAGTCTTGAACCTTCCCGAGGGTCAAGAGCAGATGATCTGGTTGATCGACTTTAAAGGCTGGTCCATGAAGAAGTCCACCCCCATCGGCCTGGCTCGCGAAACAGCCAACATTCTGCAAAATCACTATCCTGAGCGCTTGCACGTAGCTGTTCTGTACAACCCACCAAGACTTTTCGAGGCTTTCTGGACAGTAAGTAACCTCTGCAGTCATTTTAGTACTAAAAATAATGTATTCACTTCAGGTTATCCACACCTTGGTGACATCACGAGAAACTTTTCCCTATGAATGCCTCCGTTAACATCTTGAGTTGTGCAGATTGTGAAGCCGTTCCTGGACCCGAAGACCTTCCGGAAGGTTAAGTTTGTGTACTCAAAGAATGCCGAGTCTCAGAAGATATTATCTGAGCTCTTCGAGGAGAACGCCACCAAGACTATTTTTGAAGACCCAAACGATTACACCCATGAAGATTACGCTAAGTTAATGCAGGAAGATGATAAAAAATCCGCCTTGTACTGGAAGGGAGCTGGTGAAGCGAAGACTGGAGCCGAACCTGCAGCTGATGTTCAAAGTAAGGCTGCAGATATTTCGGAAGCAGCAAGTTTGAAGACTGAAGAAGGTGCTGCAGTCAATGATGCCCCAGCTTCTGCGCCAGAGTCGCTGGCACCCGTGGCACCAGCTCCCGTGGCAACTCCAGTGGTGGCCCCTGTTTCATGAGTAAAGTTTGTCACCTTAAATAACTAATTTTGATGGTTCCTATGCAATTTTGAAGGAAAACTTCCACTTCCTAGCACAGTGGGTGAGGAGTGCACGTCTGTAATATGGAGCCTTGGTTGCGGAAGAATATTCTTATCAGTCAACCAGAGCTCCAAAAGTGACCTAATTTATATAGTGTGATGGCACATCACTATTATTTTTTATATTAGAGCTCACTTCGAGTTGACTCTGATTGTATTTTAATATGTTATTCAATAGCAGCTAGGACAGTTCATTTATTTTTTTTCTTATTTTTCAAAAATCAATCAAGTTTCCAATCTATGGCATTCACCACTCCTAATAAGCACTCGGTGCGGATGCACTGTCTTCTTAAATTCATTTTACATTCTGGGTTTCACTCGTCTGGCTTTTACAGTCCCACCTTTCCTCTACCAAACTTCGAATCCAGTCCCAGTTCCCACTTCATTCATGTCACTAACTTCTATTTCCAACAGGTCAATCGTTTCAGAGGTGAGGGATGTGAGTATCATGTCTCTCGTGAAATTGCAACACTTTTATGATATGCCTTATGTTTCCACTCCCTGTCTTAATTCCATAGTATTCCGGATAACAAGTCTCGATTAGAACTGGGCGAGAAATGTCCAAGACGCATGAGAATCTTTCTCTATAGCTCATGTCTTTTTATGTCCAGGATTCTCTACCAAACCTTCATAACTTGCGACAATGTGGACGTGAATGGAGAGTTAGCAGATGGAGGAATGACTGAGCACCACGAACATCAATCCTGAGGTCAGCAACTTATTTAGTCAGATGCAGAGTTGTTAACTGAAGAATTAGTTTTGAGTGAGTCCAGATTAGTACTGCGGGACTTCTTCAAATGCCTACCTCTCAACTCGAAAAGCCCACATCGCCATGGACTTGGGGTTGTAGGCAAAGAGTGAATGGGGTCTCATGACTTGGGTGCACATATTCTGGTCAAGCTCCGTGGTTGCATAGCTCCATTTTTCTGACATTGTCGCATTTTTCAATGCAACCATGGCATTCTCAGAATTATTGCAGCAGACGGAGTCAGAATGGGAGTGTGGACGTCAATTGTGAAGAGACTGAGTCAAGTGCTCTGAGGGTCTAGATTTTGAAAATCATTCTAGTGGCCTTTTTGTTTTTCTTTGATTGACTTTTTTTTTTTTTTTTTTTTTTTTTTAAATGTGTTAATCCCTTTTTTAAAAAAAATTTAAAATGTTTATTTATTTATTTGATTATTTGATTTGATTTGATTTGATTTATTTTTTTCTTTCTGTTTCCAAGAATGTAGACCTATGTATTTTTAATATGATTTTCATTGTATGTAATTATCAAATTGGTATAAAAAGAAAAATTGATGGTGTTTAATTTTAATTTACTAATCTTAATTTTATAAATAACTATAGACAAATACACACATGCATATATGATCACTAGAACATGTGTTTTAATTTGGATTTATTTATTTATTTATAGTTTTTTAAAGTTTTATTTTGGATGCAATAGATTTTGTATGCACTTATAGTTTTTTTTTTTTTTTTTTTTTTTTTTTTTTGTTGAAATCATAAAATGAGTTATGTGGAATAAAGAACTTTGTTGAATGTTAAATCTGTTGTAATGTTCAAAATTTAAAAAGAACCTCTTGATCTCTTTTTGGATTTAACAAACAAACAATCAAAATATTTATTGCAAAATTCTATATATATGGGAAAATATTAAATTGACCCACCTAAATCTTTAAATTGACCCACCTACCTTATGATTGTGTTTGTCTCATTGCATCTTTGCTATATCTTTTATTGCCTTGAATCTTTACCTCTAATTTCTTAATGTATTCTAGTGAAGTTAATTATTTTGTACAAGTTTGTTGTATTGCACCTCATATTTGCTCTAACCTCATTTTCTTTCTCTATCTTAAGTTGCTCATTAAGTTATTTATGGTGCTCTTGCAACATTGCAATAAATAATTGTATTTCCTTGCTAATCCATTATATCATTAATTCTTTGTTTAGAAGCAATGCTATGTCTATCAAAGCACTCCTATGAATTACTAGAAGAAGCTTTTAAGGCAATTAATCATTTTATGTACATGCAAGGATATGCACTTATGGAATAACATTCAAATACTACTAAGGTCAATTTGAAGTGTGATTGTGGTAGATTATATAATTCTTAAAATAATCAAAACATCAACAATACAATGGAATATTGAAATACAAATGTGTACTTAATTAGTTGGTCAATTAAGTATTACAAGAGATTGTTGAAGGTTGATAATTGGTGGTACATCTCAATTTGTAATAAAAAACAGAATCATTAGTAGTACTTTAGTTGCTTATTGGCTTTAAGCTACCAAGTGTGAGTTGTACATAATACTTAATTTTGGAGTTCTCCAAAATAAATATTAATTTCCTTGCAAACACAAAATATCAACTTGTCTTTAATCAACTAAACATTTAAAAGAAAACATTTTACTTTTGCAAAATTAAGTTGTAAGATCAATCTCTATTTTATTTTTATTTTTATTTTTATATTTCTTATAGATATCATCTACAAAGGTAGATAACATTTTAATTATTAATACAATATTCTCAATGAGATCATGCATTTATTTTATGCCTATCTAAGTTGCATTAAGGTAACAGAGAGACATCCATACAATCTTGTAATTGATTGTGTATATAAAACAAATCAATTCAAAATATCAATATTTTATATTGTTTGTATGATAAGCTTCAATAGAATATTTACCATTGTAGTAGCTTTTATATGTAAAAAGAAAAAAACACATTATATATGGACCTTAGAAAAATTGTCTCAATCTTTTGTTTGTTAAAATCAAGGAAAAATATCACATATGTCCCTAAATTTTTCCACAATATTAAGAATATCCTTCAATTTATTAATAATAGCAAATCTATTTTGTATTTTATAACAATTAAAAATATGCCATTTGAAGTGATAATCTATCTTATTTTAGTGTTTTTTTTTTAGTTTGAATTGGAGCCTTTTCAATACTATTTAGGCCTAACACAAACTAAATGCCCTAATCCCTACCTCTACTACAGTTACAAAAATGTCAGCAATATACCAAAGAAAGGAACTCGCTTTGGACTAAGAAGAGTTTTATAAGTAAGTTGTACATCACTTATGATAGTAGAGGAATATCCACGGATCCAACTTCATAAGAAAGCTAGTGACATTGAAGTAAGTAAAGGAAAGATTTTGCCCTCAAATACAAATGTTGTATATCGAAGTAGATGAATACCTCAACTAATAGTATTGTCTTAGGCCAAATTGAGAGTCATAAGTAAATCAATTTTAGATAACCATTATTACATATTATTTCTGGAAAAGCATTTCACATGGAATTATGGATGGTTTCTTAAGGATAGCAAATTTTGGATGTATAAGTGAGGATTTTTATCCATAGATAGATTGTTGCTCAGTCTATAGTTTGGTCCTATGCAACATCAAGATGATGCTTTTACTTCTGTCAAGACATCACTAAGACATAATGAGTCTGGAAAAACACAATCAAGGATTTGATGTTAATGAACATGGTTCTGCAAGTTGATACCCTTTCCTTTGGCCTCAATTCATCTGTCATTTTTACAATTTGTTGTTCTTAGTTCTGCATATAATTTCAGTTTTGAGTATGAAAGTGATATTTTTTTTAGATTCCTAAAGGATAAAAAATTCAAGAATTCAAGGCATCTATTGTAATTTTTGAAAGTTTTAGATGGAATATATCTACGTGCTAGTATAAGAAGCAATAAATAAAATAATAAAGAAAAGCAAAGCTTTTGCAGTCATTATTTGCATTAGAATTGAGGAATTTGGAGCATAAGGTCTTGTGGGTCTAAGATCCTAATTTTGGTAATAGAAGTTGGTCTCATCAGTTGAAATCTTTTAAAGTAAGATTTTTGAAGTATTACTATATAACTCTTTGATATTCTCATTTAATCCATATATATTTTAGACCTTGATTATGGTGTTTGCTAGAATCTCATTCAACATTCCATACTCTATTGAGCAAGTAATAGTAAGGAATTATAGCATTTCATTTGCCAACAATTGCAACTAATATTTAAACATCTTTATTCCCATTTTGTTCAAAAAATATGCTCAAAATTGGTCACTATTGCTTGAATAAGGATATAAATTATGTACTAAGTTGATGTTTCAAGTGACAAGAGGCTAAATAGTGACAATTAAGGAGTCAAAAATAAGAATTTTATTGAAATGAATGATAGTGGTGGTAGTGGCATAGCGAAGAGAAGAGATTGGATTTGTTGAAACTAACTAACAAAAAAAAACTTGAATTAGTTAGGTTATCAATCCAATGAGAATTTTTCAATTATCACAAAAAATAAGGATAGATTTGATATTACCAAAAATTGAGGGATAATCTTAATATTTTGAGAAAATTTAATGGCATATGTGATATATTTTTTAAAATTAATTAAAAAAATAAAATTAATAGCTTATTTTAATCCATACACTCAAAAGATTTTTTCCTACCTTACAAAAAATTCTTTCTTTTTGGCATATCAATTTTTTTTTTTTTTACAAAAATTATAAAAATTACTTTGGTATCAAAGAAGATTGGAAGAAATTTGAATATATTTGGCAAAGTATTGTCCATTCAAGCATCATGCAAGTGGTTGAAATGTATTAGAGTAAGTTAAAAAAAAATACCATATTGTATTGATATTTATTAATTACCTTAATAATACTTTAGTCAAGAATTACAATGAATATTTTTTGCCACAAAGACAAACAAATACTTTCATTATAAAAATGTAAGCTCATTATGTGTACAAAGAGATCAGTCTAAGTTGAAGAGATACATGTAGAAGTCTACATAAAGATTTTCTTTTAATTCATGCAAGTTTATCATGAATATTTTGAATTGAATCAATGTAATTAGAATTCAAGTTATAAGGGAGTCTATATGTATTGGCATTGATTTAATCTTGATCATGATTTTTTTATTTATTTTTTATTTTTTTATTGTTAGAGTGGTGAATATTAAAAACCTCAATACTCAATGTAATCTATTATTTTAAAGAAAAATTAGATGTTCCTTTAAGAATTAATATTTTTTATTAAATTTAAAATTAAGACATAATTTTTATTAAATTATGATGTAATATATATATATAGATATATATTACTTCATTAAAATAAAATATTAATATAACATAATAAGAATATATCAATATTAGACTATTAGTAATAACAATTATATATATTTTTAAATATAAATAGAGAATAATTTGCAATTTCTCAATTTGTGATGAAGAAGGTCTATGGTTGAATTAAAATTTATTAGAAGGTGAATAAATAATGATAAAATAATGATTTGAGATTGATAAAAAATAATTTAAAGTATTAATGTATTGATGTGGATATATACAAATTATATCTAATTGATGTTAGCAATGTATAATAGTTATTTTTTTATTTTTTATTACTTATAAATACAAATACTTCTATAATATTTTATTTTATAATATTACTTTTATTATTTTTTTTGATAATTTTGTGTTCAATATAATATCTTAAATTAATTTAAAGAATTTTTTTTATAAACTGCAAACTTAGTCAAAGAACTTTTTTGCCTTTTTTTACTACATTTGTTTTCTAATATTTATTTAGGTATTATATTAATACAATATGTTCATTGATAAGATTTGTAGAATTATTTTTAAAGTATTATATCATTTATGTGTAATATTTTAATTTTTGGATTACATCTTTTTTTAAAAAAAAACATTAATAGTAAAGAGTACAACATACAATAATTAAACAAACCATATTTTGATGGATCAAAGCTTTTATTTATTTATTTATTTATTTTATTATTATTATTAAAAAATCCAAAAACTTAGATGAATTATGATAGTGATTTTTTTGTTAAATAATATGTAATGCATTTGGTTGAAATTCAAAAATTCACATAAATGTGAAAAAATAAAGAGAAAGTATATTGCTAATATAAAAGTTTTATGAAGCAAATACAAAAGAGTTCTCTACCTTATTATCAAGGATTCAAGAGAAAAAATGCTTAAAATGAACCTCTACTTCTTCTCCTTATATATTACAAGTCCATAGTCTAGTTACATGGACTTTCTAGTATGAACACACAAACAACTAGCCTAGTCAACAATGTTCAATTAACATATGGACACTCATCTTATCAGACCATATGACGGCTTGATAGGCTACAACGGTGTCGTATTATGTGCTTTCCTGCTCGAGAACGTGCCGGGCGTCTGGCTGTAGAAGGTAGTATGGAGATTCGCTAATATTCAAGTAGTCTATCGATTTTTGACTGTTGAGATATAAATGACTGCAAGAATATATCGTAAATCTATACGGATGTCCTTCGACTGCTTGCCAAAATCCTTTTTTCCCCAGCCGGTAGGTCTCTAGACGTTACAGAGAACCCCGAACAACCCAATCTGCTAATCTCCGATACCGCTTTATACTCACGACCTTGTATCCACTAACTGTCTTATTAGATTAATCCAAAAATTTTCATTCACTCCGCATACTCAATCCTATAGACACCTTTTTAATCCTTCAATCACAGACGTAACTTCAATTTCACAAAACAGTCAAGAGTAATCACACCCACTTCATTAAAACCCCGATTCACCAGTACAACACTGACTTCAGCAACGATTGCCTCAGTCTTCCCAAAACCCTATGAAGAAAAAAAACCCAATTCTTTGTCTTTTTTCCCCGCCCAAAGCATGAAGCTAGCTCTCCGACCCTTAAAAAAACTTATTCTCCCCCCTTTCATTTCTTAACCTATCTTCCCCTTTAACCCTAATTCTCCCCTCTTTCAAACCCTAGCCTCTAAATTTCTTCAATCTTTTGTCTTGGATCCGGAATTGGCTCCGCCGTAAGAGCTTTCTCTTCCATTTTTTTGCCTTTTAAAAGGTTCTTTTTTCTGGAAACAACGTTCCCTGAAACGGCAGGGAGAACAGGATAACCTGAAACGGAATCAAAACCCCCATAATCGGGACCACATTGAGTCACCCGACCAATTCAGGTCTCATATTAGCTAAGAGGCCCATAATAAGACTTGGATGTTCCCGTAATTGGATCGCATTGAGTTGCCCAACCAAGTCAGGTCTCATATTGGATAAAAGGCCCGTAATAGGACCTGGATTGGATGTCTTGAAATTGGATCCAATTAGCTCTTCGAACCAGGCTCACTCGTCGTTGAATTGGTCTTTTCTCTTTCTGCTGGCTCCCGTTATTAGAATCGAACGGAGCATTTCAGTATGCCCCGACTGATTGTAACGGGGTAACTGAACCTGGCCTCTCAGTATTTGCACTGGAATTGGTCGTTGCTCCCAATATTCGAGGTAACTGAACATTAATAAAAGTCCCCTTTTTTTATATTTTCACGGTATACTCGTGTTACAACACGAGAATGGCTAAATAGTATTACCACCAAGAAATGGCGGTTACAACTTGTCAACCGGCAAAGCGGTGTCAACCTCATATTCTAATACATGTCTAATAGGAATTATACACTCTATTAACACTCCTACTTAATGACATATTTGACTAACTCAATTTGATGATGCCCATCATGTCCTTGAATTTACAATGTTTCTCACAAGTTAGACTTTTGGTCAAAACATCTGCAACCATATCTTGAGTCCTGCAAAAAATTAAGTTGGTGTTGCTACTCTCAATCTTCTCACAAACAAAGTGATGCTGAATTTCAACATGCTTAGTATAAGTATGGAATGTAAAATTCCTTGAAAGAAAGATGTAACTTTGATTATCATTGAAAATAATCAAAGGACTATCTTGAAAAAACTCAATGTCTTTAAAAAATCTTTGAAGCCAAATTGCCTCTTTTGTAGTATGAGTAGATGCCATTTAGTCTACTTTGGTGGTAAAAAATGCAATTGTTGAATACTTCTTGCTATTCCAATTAATTGCACGACCAACCAACAAGGGTTGAATGTTGTGTATCAATATCTCTTGCATAGTCTACATTACAATAACCAATTACTTGAAAACTTGAAGAGCTTCTACCATATTTTACTACATGATTTGATGTGCCTTGAAGATATTGCAAAATACATTTCACAGCTATCTAATGTTGTGGGCTAAGATTTGCCATGTATTGGCTAACAACTCCCAGTAAATATGAAATACTGACATGAGTGCCTATTATTGCATAGACTAAACTACCCATTGTATTTTGATATGGAATTCCCTTCATTGCTTCAATCTCCTTAGGAATTTGTGGATTCATGTCTTTTTAGAATTTACTCTTAGAATCCAAATGTGTAACTAAAGATTTACAATCTTTTATGTGAAACCTTTTAAGGATATTTTCTACGTAATTTTAATATATTTTACTCACTCATAATTAAAAAATATTCTTAATATTTTAAATATATATATATAAAGAATTGTTAAAACTACACTTCAATTTTGTTAACTCGACACCTCTCCTTACCATCTTATGATTCATTCATTCTATTCCTTGTTTTATGTTCTTATCTCCTATCTCCAACCTCCCATCCCTTGTCCTTGTTCTCTACCCCTCATCCCTTATTTTCCATCCCTTGTCTAGAACCCTCCATATACCTTAGGTGAAAACTCAATTTGGATTGTAGTAATGATGCTTGTTGTTATAAATAATATTATTTGTAAGATTTTATTTTATTATATTTTTTTTATTTTCTAAAAATGCCATATTTTATTTTATTTTTTAAGCTTAAAATAAAAATTATTTAATTTGGATGAATAATAAAAATTCCAATTTTTGTTCAAATGGGTCACATAAAAAAAGAATTTACAAATCAGTCAATCAAATAATAAATTTAAATCAAAGGCACTTTGTTATGTGGATGTGTTTTTTGGATGATTATTTTAGTGTAAACTTTGATAATGGCCAATCAAGTTAAGAACTCATTTTGCAAGTTTTTCATTTCCTCAAGGCTCAATATTATTCATAAGAATATTTCATTGATTGATTGATTGATTTATCTTCTTTTTTAGATGTTCTTTATTTATGTAAATACTAAATAAATTATGCATTTTTCTTAAAAACCAAGTTTAGTTTATTTTTCTTTTATTCTATTTTTTTGATTAGCTAGATTTCTTCTTCTTCTTCTTCTTCTTCTTCTTATTATTATTATTATATATTTGTATTACAAAGGAATCAAATGCTGTAAATGTCATCTCATTGTGCTGAATCTTAATCTGCATATTTAATTATTCATGTACACAAAATTTCTAAAGTAATATTATAAATATCTTTCAAGTCTTTGTATATTATTAAACTTATTTTTAATATGTGTTCCTTGAATTTAATGGATCACCAAAATCATTTCATAAATGGTTATTCTTCATTAAAATAATTGTTCCATTAATATCATATATTTTAGTTCAAAAAATTCAAAACATGTATTAAAAAAATGTTTTAAAAAAGTAAAAAAAGAAGTAAAGAATCAGGTTCTTTTTGTTTTTATTTTATTTTTATATAAGAATTATTGTCCCATTGAACACCGTTTTGTACTCAATGTTCCTATGGTTGTTTCAACACCAATACTCAATATGTTTAGCAATATCAACTGATGAATATTAATTTATTCATTTATTTACTTACTTGTAGATTTTAGCAAGTATTATGTGTAAATGTATTGACCCCTTATTACTTCATCTATTTCACAACACAATGTATATTAAAATTACTTAATTCTATACTACAAGATTATTATAATATAATGTTTAATATTTAGAAACATACAAACTATCAAGTTCTATTTTAGTAATTTTTGTAAATAAAGTATGATATTTGCTATCACATTAACTTTACATTTATTTTATTTTAATTTTTAAATAATCCATGTTCTTTCACTTTCCAGTCTACCATTATTAGCATTAAATATCACTCTTTCATAATAATAATAAATAAATAACTATATATATATATATATATATATATATAGTTGCATTTCAAAAACATTGAATAATTCTGTAATAGAATTTCTTTAAATAATCAGAAACGATTATAAAGGACCTTGAAATGTATACTCCAATTGTTAACAAGAGAAAAATCCCTGAACACGTAGCAACAACACACATAATCCCAGCGTCCCAACCCGCTGCCACAGAAAGCCACCGAACGCCGCGGAGGTTGCCGCCATGTGCCGCAGAAGCAGTTGAGTCAAGTGAGGAAGGGAGAGGAAGGGATGACGACGACGACGACGACGGAAGACGACGAAGTAGAAGAAGAAGCGAGACGAGGGGGATGAGGATCCACATGATGGGAGGCGGCGATTGTGGGGCTCCTCCTGCAGCGGCGATCAGTTGCGAACGATGCATACTCTTGTCAGCAACCGATCGGAGATCAAGCCCCAGGCCATGCTTGAGCATGAGCTCGACCACGACAGCAACAACAAAGACGGCGACGGCGCCGAAGCATTGCAGTACCTCTTCTCCATTGACCCTGATGCCGGCGACTACTGCCAGCCTTGCAGTTACCCTCGCCACGCTTCCCCCGCCGCCGCTCCGCCCCATGTTCCCGACTCCATCCCCCACAACACGCTGTCTTCGTCGTGTAGCTACGGAATCCAAGCCCTCATCAACAATGTCCATCGCGGTTACATCAATGACGACGATGATGCGCCCATGATGAGCCCAGTCCCGGAGGATTTGTCTCAACAGCAGGAGTCCGAGACTCTGAGGTGATCGTCGGAACCCCTGCGCTGACACCGCGGCGTTGATTGAAAAAAAATGAGTTACGGGAACTTGAGAGTTGTATCGTTTTCGTTTCAAGAAATCGATCGTGTACAGTTTGGGTCCTGAGGATGATTAGGAAACTTCAATGATTTGGTGCGGGAACTCTGTGGACTTCTGTGTGTATGTGTGTGTGTGGTAGGCAATGGAAAAGGAAGAAGGAATTAGAGCTTCAGGAAAAGCAGAGAGAGACGCAGATCAAACAAGATCGCGTAATCCACCTGTGTCCCATCTGATATTGGCATGGTGCTTGTGTGGAGTGGTTAATATTAGTCAGTAGGATATGAGTTTCGTTTTCTGATTTGGAATATTAGAATGGTGATGAAATGGGTACGTCCGTTGTGATTAGATTTTGGAGCATGCGGCAATTGAACGGGAAAATTTTTACAAAGAAAGAGAAGTACAGATTGAGGAGAAGAAACGACTCAACAGGTGAGGAACTCTACGATAACTCGTGATGAGGGTTGAATTAAGAAATCCCGTCGAAACCTTGGGTGATTGCCAGAGTGTGTTATTATTTCTGATTTGTATGTGAAATTCAAGAATTCGGGGGTGCTGGGCATGTTGGACTCGGAACTGATCAACATCTTTCGCATGTTTTTGAATCAGGGAGAAAGAAACGAAATACCGAGCAGATGCCGAAATGCAGCAGAAGCTTGTGGAGGATAACTTGTGGGCGGCAGTTGCAGCTCTCATCGACCTCAACGGTGATCAAACCGATGGGATGATGACGGCAAATGGATCTGGAAAGCAGATTTCTAAATCACAGATCTCAACTCCTAAGAGGGTCGAACAGAGGAGACTCAAGGAATACGCAGTGAAACCAACGAAGAAAACCACTGATTTGTCACGCATGAGAGAGGTGGTGCCTGTACTTCCACTCCATGCAATAAAACACATTTGCTATGCTTCGTTTGCCATGACTATTCTCTATTGTCATACTTCCACTCCATACGATATAACTAAGATGATAATAGACAGCAGTCTACAGTGTGGATGTTTTTTTTCCCAGTATTATGCTGACAAAGTGTGTTGTCTACTGAAGATTCTCTTGAAGCTTCAGCAACGACCATTGGTGCGCTCGTCTCCACACTTTGCAGGAAAATCACCACTGGAGATGGAGCGAAACATGCAGTAATATTCCTGCTGCCATAACTGGATACTACACAGCCCATTTTTTGACGTGTCTGGATGTGATGCAGGGATGAGAGCGTGTCATTCTACTTATATAGATGACAAAATTAAAACATCAAATGTTACACTCCAATAGAGCGATATATATATTTTAAACGAGTTGTAACATAAGTGGTACCTCAGAACATGGCTGAGGAATAGTAACGGCGCACTATTCTACTCTAAATAAGTTACTTCTCCTGTACACGAATTGTTCCTGAAGATTGATATTGGCAGAAGATTGATGAAGTGTCTCACGCTCGCTTCTGAAGCAGGTAGTAAACGTGACATACGTCATCAAACGTCTCAAATCTTTACCAGCTTCACTCCAAAATTAAAAACAATACATTGATACTGAAAAAATAGCTACACGGATTAGGAAACTACATTCCACACGCGTCGGCTGGCTAGGCCCCGCTTGAAGATAAATGCAACCCTCTGTAAGAAATTATGTACACTTCTCCCATACGCAGTAGTCTTTTCCCACAGCTGCAATTTTATATTCGTCGCAGTTTGGAGCTAGATCGCCTATGTCATATCGGGGCCCCATCTTGAGGATGACACGATCATCTATCTTCGCAACGTACAAATCGTGCTCAGCGCAACAAATGTGCACTTTGCTCTTCGCATTGATGTCATTCCGCTTGCGCACGTCAATAAGCGTTTTGATCTCCTCTTTCAAACCCCAATCATAGAAATGGTCGTAGAACTGAAATGGAAAATTTACATCATGTTAGGTGAGAAGACCTGACTATTTGTAACAGGATAAATACGATCAGTGTACAAGAAACGTGCCAAACCAGTGTAATTGTAGAGGAGTTGGAAACTTACGATACAAGGGTTGCCAGGATGAGTGAGTATGTAAGCATAGCCTTGCATGATATGTTCACCAGGAAAAGGCCAGTGTCCTTGTGTAGATCCTGTGTCATGGTTGTCGAGAAACGTTACTGCTTTTGAAGGCCAATAACCGATCAACCCTGGTGGCTTGCTGTTCGGATCCCGCAGCCGCCACAGCTGACCTTTCACGGCCTCTTGCAAGATACCCTTGGTGGTGAAATCGAATGCAGTGGACCTCTCCTTCGTTGCGTGGATCCAATCAACCAGTTGCTGCCTGTGACTATCCTGGTTGTATTCCAGACCGTCATGTCCGTAATTCAAGCTCGTCCAGAACTCCCCAACTGCAAACTGTGGTTCAGTTTTTCTGATGTAGCGACCGACGAAGTATCCACCGTAACCCTTGGCAAAGTCGAATCTCCACCCATCAAACCCAATTTTGAACTTCATCCAATTCATCCAGACGATAAGGTCGCTTTGAACGATATCGTTTGTGTGATCAATGTCGGGTGCAGCCTCAAAGTCATCTCCGGTGTCGGGAGCACCTGCAAGCATTCAAATTGCAAAGTTAGCACTAGTGCTGCGTCAACACGCGTGGTCAAGCGAAGGAAAATTTAGATTCTGAAGAATATAGCAGGTGAAGATGACATCCACGGATATTCTCAGGAGGAATTTTGTCCCCTAGTGTGGTAAAAATATGATAGTAAATGTGCTCACCTGTTCCGTTACCATAGGGATAGTCATCTCCGACTATAGCCCAAGGACCCCAGTCGAGAGCATCATCGGGCGTTCCTCCTTCAAAAATAACCCATTCACCCCTCTCGTCTTGTTCTTCACCGCATCTATGATTCACGACAATATCAGCAATGCACCGAACTCCCACTCTGTGAAACTTTTCAATGGTTTCCCTCAGCTTCTCTTCATTGCCATATTTACAGTCGTTCAAATCGTAAAGCCTTCCTGGCATGTATCCTGAAAGAATAACAGATTTAAATCAGTTCATTGCGTACTTCATGTATGCAAAACAGTGAGAACTGAGAAGTTTTTCTCCTGAAGCAGTGCCTTGTAAAGTAGTGCGTGCAACACAATACTGATAATGGAGAAAAGAAAATCAAAAGCGAAGGATAGATACCCTGGGGGGACACGGAATGGCTAGAAGGAGGAAACCAGACATCAGTAATGCCTGCTGCTGCTAGATCTTCCGCAGTCTCGCCCATGACATCATACCAGCACGAGCTCTTCCACGACTCCCAGTTGAACCCCTAATCAGACGATAAGAACATTCATTACTCAAACTCATGTAAGGCGTGTCTTGAAAACGTGCTGTCAATATACTCGGGAAACACGGTTGAGCCAGCAATTTCGTAAGGAGAACTGTTCGTTTCACTGCTAACGTTGCCTACAACTGAACATTTACAACATAATTCGGAGCCAGAAATCAGAAACTAGATTGGCTATAACACCACTGCGTACGCAAGCGGCCGTCTGCATAACCATCGAAGTAGAATATGAAGTTCAGTAATACCTGAAACATGATTACTCTGAGAGGATCTGCCTTGATGTTGCCACCTCGGGCTTTGTGATGGCTCCGAGAGCGCTTGAGCTGGGGCTTAGCAGCATCTGTCACAGCCTCGGCAGTACCTTCCACAGCCTTGATTGCACCTTCCACAGCTTCCATGGTAGCATTAGGTGCATTCTTCACGTTTTCTACTGCCTCTTTAGCAGCTTTGGGGGCCTCAATTGACGACCTGATGGACGCACTTCCAGCAGATAGATTAATTCGCCTCGGCGTGGAGTGGGTGCCATGTAGCCGTTTAGAGGAGAAAAAAGTTGAAGACGCCGAGGAAGTAGACGGGGTCATGCACACGTTCATCGCCTTGTGACCGATTGAAGAACGCATTGAATTTGATATAGAACACTCTCTAAGCCCACTTGCTTGAGCTCCTTGATTCGTTATGGAGGCCATGGCTCCTTGCCGCTAGTGGAAACCAACACCTGAAAAATTGTGAACAACTCATCACTTCAGAGCTATAGATTGAAAGAAAAAAATAACTGAAAAAAAATGAAAAAAAAGGGAATGCGTTGTCCTACTCTGTACAAACTAGACCACTAGATGCATCTAGTTATCAATTAGGAGCTCAATGAGAAAATCATAAACGTGCTACACAGCACTCCTTTGATCCACGCATGAGCAACCTAGAAACGACGTAATGTGGGGAAAAAATCGACAGCATTGGGAATGCCACACCATCCCACAATGCAGACCAAAATGCAACACAAACCCATCTAACACAGAACCCAGATATTCACCACCAACAACAACAGCAACAACATCAACAACACGAACATGCACATGCACTACGTACCAAACACCTGTCAGGACCTTCTCGTCACGGAAAACCAGAAGCTCCCACTCTCCTCGGAACGTATACACTGACAGGAAAGCACTCACCTCAAAACTATCCGCAACCACGCTCTTAATACCCAGATCCTCGAAATGCTCTACACCCCCAAATCCAATCTCTACACCAAACTAAACTGGGTAGGAGGTAGTGAGCTTCAGGAACCGAGCTGCAGTAAGAAGTAACTCTACAGTACGCGAATTGCAACAACAACAACAACAACAACAAAGACAGTGAAGAGAGAATCGTGCTGCGAATGCACATCTTCACCCCGCTTCCCCTGAAGCGCCATCTATATTGAATCCCCCCACCCTCACCCCACCCCCCGCGAAGGGCCCCACCACATTCTCTGATATCGCAGACAGCGGCATCTCAATATCACATGCGTACACGCGTCGCGAAAATTGAGTGCCCCCGTGACCATTCCGACACGTGTTGGGTGAGGCCTAGAACTCCGGCACAGGCTGGGTTGCGCGGGTGGAATCTTCCCACCCTTGATTGCAACGGACGGTGCTCGCTCGTCGGACCCATCATTCGGAGCTTTCTTGCTTTTACCTTTTTCCGTATTTATTTGCTTTATTTCGTTTTAACTGCCCCTTCTGCCCCCGCAGACGGTCTTGGTCCTCACGGGTTTCATCTCTCGTGGTGGGACCCCCGCCTCGGCTGTTGCCCTGTTCACACCGCACCGGATGGTCCCCACCGAACTAATTACTTGGATTGATGAAAATAAATTAGAAAGAGAAATTGACATCTTTGAATTAAATAGGAATGATGATGTATTCATGTTTGATTTGACATCACCATTAAAGATGTATTATTCTTTTGCTTATCCTTGCTTTATTCTAAAATCCAATATACAATAAGATTTTTAATTGAGATATTTAGTGGTGTGATGTGTATTATTTTCTTCAATATTAAATCCAAATATAATAAATTTTACTTCTACAGATTAATATTTTCTGTTTTCATACTGCATGCTGCATTACAGCTTAAATTTTTCAATCTTTTTTTCTTTTGTCTTTTTTAAAAAGCATTTGTATGTTTCTTTTTTGTTCAGTTTATTTCTTCTTATATATATATATATATATATATATATATTGGTTCTAGAACTGGATGTAAGTTCAGTGTTGAAGTGTATGTTGGTTTTTCTTTAGCTAAATTTTTTCATTCTTAATGAGCCAATATTTCTTCTTCATCTTCATTATCATTTCTACATTATTGCCACTTTTGGTATTTTGTACCTCAATTGAAGAATCTACAAAATCGTTAATTTTCAATTAATAAAATGTTTTTTAATTGATTATTATTTTTATTCTTGTGTTAATTTTAATATTTTCAAGATATATATACTATCAATTATAAAAAATTATTGATGATTTTATTTTATTTTATTTCACAAATATGTATGTTTTTGTATCTATGCAATAAATCAATCTTTAAAGGTCTTAAGAACAATCAAGAATTCTTATTGGTTTAGACACTGTATGCAATTTAATTGAAGATTTCATTAGATTGGCAAGTATTTTAAGAGAATTTTGCCTTTACAGAGAATAAATTATAAAATTAAAATAGAAAAATGAATCAATTGAAAATATTCCTAATTTAGACATCTTAATGTCAAAGTCGACATAAAAATTTCACTTTTGTATTAAAAACGCAATCATGGGGATTTTATGGGTATTTATACAAATACATAAAAAAATTCTTTTCTGATAATTGATATTTTTTTATACATAATTCATGAATTATTGATAATTTTTGATACATAAAAAAATTTCTATTTTCTTATTGGACCAAATTTGTAAAAGAATTTAAAGATTTTAATCTATGCTATCTCTAAAATAATAAAAAGTAAAATTCTTAAATTTTGTTTATTGAAAATGTAGCTGTTTTTTAATGAGAACTTTAGCCATTTTTTTTTTTATAAATAAGATTTTTTTTTCAAGTTCATAATATTTTTAAATATTTTGGAAATTAATACAAACAAAATAGTGTTTAAGTTGATCATGAATTTCAAAAAATATAGTTTATTAATTTAAAACTTTAAAAAATATCATGCTTAATTGATCAGTTTTGTTTTATGATTTCATAATATTTGCATGACTAAAATAAAATTTGAAACAATTTTATAGTTATAATACAATTATTATTACTTAGCAGCTTGTATAATTGAAAAGATTGTCCTATATAAGCACGACTTTTTATCTACAATATACTTTAAGTATTTTTATAGTTTTTATTTTGTTTTCAACAAATTTTTTAGAAGTAATTCTTTATTTAGGTTTTATTTGAGGTTTTTTAAAATATGCAAGACTTTAAAAAATGGTTTTGCAATTTATATGCAAGAAAAACAAATCCCAATTTATTTGCATGTATGCACAATGCTTACAATAGTCAATTTACTTAACTTAAAATTTTATTTACTGCACTTTTATTTATTTTTATTTTTATTTTTTAATAAATTTTATATAATATAATATGGTTAATATTTTTTTTATGAATTTAGATTGAAAATTTAAAAAATTCCAAACTTTCTTCAAATTTTTATTTTCTTGGACTTTTGTATGTATGTATGTGTATATATATATATATATATATATATATATAAAGAGTTTATAATCAATCTTTGATTTTCAAACATACTTTAAATTTGTCTTGTAATTTTAAGTATTTTAATCAAACATATATGTTTTCAATCTTCAATTTAGATCTGAAGAATCCAAGTGCAATACATGTGGACCTTCATAATTTATTTATTTTTGTTTTAAATTATTTTCTTAGCTTAAAGGTCTTAATAAAGTAGAAAACATTCTTTTTACAATGCAATGTTGGTAGAGCTATTAATTGCGCACCAAAAATTTTATATTATTTAATTATTAAGTATGTTGGTACTTATTTTTTTTAAACATTTTCTATTGTAAGAACTTAAATTCAATAGATATGTAATACATGTAATATATATATATATATATATATATATATATATATGTTGGATATAATTTAATAAAATTAATAATTTTACATAATTTATTAAATCAAACATTAATCACCTTTTATAATATAGAATATAAAAAAAGTTTTATATTTATTTTTCGATTCCAACTATACAAAATAATTTATCTTCAATTTATATGTTTATAATAAAACTTTAAATATTATATTATTATTTAATAAATGTATTATCTTAATCTCTTCTTTAGTTTTTAGTTTTTAGTTTTTTTTTTTTTTTTTTTTTTTTTTTTAATAAAAGAAAATATTGATTTTAACATTATTTTTTTATTTTTAATAATTTTTAAATTTTATATTAAATTAAGATCTCACAAAAGTCATGTTTGTTATAAGGATGTAACAAAATGATGTGTATTTTCTTTGTATAAATTTAATCATTTATAGTAATTATTTTTTGATATTGTTATAAATTTAATATATTAAAATAATATGAATTTGCCAAATATTTCTTCCAGGTGCTTACAACCATCTAAATAAAACTTAATCAATAAAGTTGATGCATTAAATGAATTAGTACTAAACTTCATTTTCTTACTATTTGAACCCTCATTTTTTTCTAATTTAGATAACTTATTCAATCCTATTGGCACTTCTTCTAAATGTTCTCACCTTTTCAACTAATATATCTTTAAATTTGTCATGCTATCAATTCTTACCTGCACCTTTTTCAACTTTGTGTAATTTTTAAAACTAAGAATATAAGGTTGCCAAATCATTTAGATACTTCTTCAAAGTACTAATAAATGTCCAAATGTAAATTAATCAATAAAGATAATGCATCAAATGCATCAACATCAAACTTCATTTTTTCATAAAATCTAATATCCAATACTTTTGATATTGATAACTTAATCAATCCTATTTGCATGTCTTCTAAACTCTTGCATTCTTTTATTCATAATGTCTTCAAGTTTGTCATGTCATCAAACCTTGCAAGTATTTTTTTATTTTGAAGTTCATACAATTTTTAAAACAAAGATATTAAAGGTAATAAGGTTGTCAAAGCCTTTGGATATTTCTTCCAAATGCTTACAACCATCAAAAGATAATTTGGTTAATAAAGATAATATATCAAATGCATCAATATTAAACTTTATTTTCTTACAATTCTTAATGTTTATATTTATCTATGTAGATGACTTATTCATTCTTTTTGACATCTCTTCTAGATTCTTGTAGTATTTCAACCATAATGTCTTCATGTTTGTTATGCCATCGAGCCTTGCATGCACTCTTTTTAAATAAGAACAATTTATAAAACTAAGATGTTGAAGAGATGTAAAGTTTTCAAACCCTTAGAATATTTCTTCCATTGTTTATAACCATCCAAATACAACTTGACAAAAGAAGATAATGCATCAAATACGTAAGTATTAAACTTTATTTTCTTCTAATTTCTAATATCTAATACTTCCAAAATTGATAATTTATTTAATCCTACTGAGATGGTTTTTTAAATGCTTGCAATCTTTCAACCATAATGTCTTTAAGTTTTTCATGCCACCAAACCTTCTGTGCAACTTTTGAAAGTTTGTACAATTTATAAAAGTAAGATAATAAAGAAATGTTAGGTTATTAAATCCTTGGATACTTTTTCTAAATTTCTACAATCATCTAAATATTAGTCAATTAGTAAAGACAATGCTTCAAATGCAGCAACAACAAATTTTATTTTCTTATAATTTGAAATGTCAAATTAATCCAATGTAGATAACTTATTCAATCTTATTGGTACTTTTCTAAACTTTTGCATTCTTTTTATGATGATAACTTTAAGTTTATCAAGTCATCAAAGCTTGCATACATGTCTTCTAGTTTATATAATTTGTAAAAATAAGCCATTGAAGAGATGTAAAATTGCCAAATCCTTTGGATATTTTTTCTAAGTGCTACCAACTATCCAAATATAAGTTGATTAATGAAGATAATGCATCAAATGCATCAGTATTAGAATTTATTTTTTTACAATTTTAAATACTGAATACTATCAATATGAATGACTTATTTAATCTTATTGATATGTCTTCCAAATACTCGTAGCCTTTCAACAATAATATCTTTAAGTTTATGATGCCATAAAACCTTCCAAGAACTTTTTTCAAGTTTGTGCAATTTTCAAAACTAAGATATCAAAAGAAAAGAGGCTACCAAATCCTTTCAATATTTTTCCAAGTCATCACAACCATTCAAATATACTAAAATTAATAAAGATAATACATCAAATTAATCTATATCATATTTTTGATGCTTTAATTTGCATGGGATTTTTTATCATTTTTTCAACAAAAGAACTAACAAAAATATTTTTTATTTTTATTTATATATGTATCCTAAAGACTTGATTTTTAAAAATAGTTTTCATATAATAAATATCAAATTTTCTAATAAAATAATAAGACTTAAAAATCCGAAAATTTGTATAAAAATATTTATAGTTTTTAATAATTTTCACTTATATTAGAAAAAATTAAAAATTTATTAAAAACTTATTGAAAATATAAAATTTCTAAAAAAATCCAAATAACTTCAATATATTTTTAAATACATCCATTGCAATCTATACATTAAAAAATCTTTAAAATAATAAATTAGAATTTTTTATAAATAAATTAAAATAAATTTTATATTATACCAAAAATTTAATAATATTATTTTTTAAAGTTTAGAAATATCAAATTGAAAAAAAGACTTGTAATAGTATTATCTTGTAATTTGGTCCAAAATTAAATTTTAAAAATAATATTTTTAACTAAAAGAGATGATTTTATTAACTGATATAGATAAGAATAAAATTAATAAAAAAATTACCATATAATCCTATAAGATCTTAGTTTGAATTATCTTTAATATACTATCTCTTATACTATAGATAAAAATAATTTAAAAAATAAAATATATCTAATATTCTTTATATAAGTATAATTAATAGTTTCATATATATTAAATTACATATGTATCTTTTTAAAATAATATACATAGATGTAAGACTTTATTATATCTAAAAATTAATTATTAATAATAAATTCTATTTAAAAAAAATTAGATAGAAAAGTGCATGTAATACATATTTTAACAAAAATATAATAGTTGCAAAATTTAAGTTGTATTTAGTCTTATTAAATATAAAACATTTGATAGAAGAACACTCTTTAAAGTATAGTAGAAAAGACTTCAATGGTTAGTTTTATTTAGATATAATTTAATTTAAAGTAGAATTTATTGTAGTTGTATCATGTATTCTTATCCACTTAATATAAATGAGATTGTTGTACTTGCGTACTATTTACAAGTACCACTATAGCGATTCTAAAAGAAGATAAAGTTGATTGTAACTAGCACTATTTGGTAGAAGTAGCAAAAGTGATACCTTTACAATACAATGTACATTCTATTTGGTTGGAGTTTAAGATATCAAATAGATAATATCCAAAATGATTAATATCTCTAATAATTAGCTTAATAAAATTAGAATTATGTATTTTTAATTAAATTTTAATAAAAATAAACTCTACTAATTATATATATATATATATATATATATATATATACATATATATACACATACATATATGTACACATACTAGAAGAAGCCTATTTAGTAAGCTAAATCAAATAATTATGCACTCCATTGTTTTTTGCTTCTATTGTTTATATTTTTATTTAGTTATTAATCTATGTTTATGCATTTTTTTTTCTTGTTTTGCATTAAATATATATGTATATATATATTTCAAAAATCAAAAAATATTATTTTTTTATATTTTTGTACCATGATTCTTTGTGTTTCATTTTATTACTCTTTAAATATTAACACAAAGTGTGTTGATCATGAAGCTATGGTGAAAAAGCAATACTCGTATGAACAAAGAAACTCCATGAAGAGATTTGTTTTATCTAACATGAGGTTGCAGTGTGAACGGGGCTTTAATGTACTTGTAAAAATAATAAATATTCTACTATATTATTATAAGAAAATAATTTCTAATATATTAGAATCTTTTAGATAAGTTTTTAGACTTGTTAAAAAATTATGTAATAACTATTGATACTTTAAATAAAAATATTAATTTATATTTTAAAATATGTTATTTATGTATTATATAAGAATATGTAGAACTAGTTTAATTGATATAGAAATTTGATAAATCCACATCCAAATTTTGTTAAAGCCACATCCTTCCTTGATATCTCATCATTGATTTTGTCCATCTCCTATCTCTGTTCTTTGTTCTCAGTCCTTTGTCCTCATTTCTTCATCCCCTATTCTCCAATCTCCTATTTCCAATCCATTTTTTCTAATCTATTCTTAAGTCACCCATTCTCCAATCTCCTACCTCCATTCTTTAGTCTCTTACACTTGTTTCCCAATTTCCTACCACTATTCTCTAGTCTCCATTCTTCCACCCTTGTTTTCCAATTTCCAATTCCCTACCTCTATTCTCTAGTGCCTAGTCTTCTATCTCTATTACTTAGTTTGACATATAAAATTATTTGAATAAAATAATTAAAAATTTTGAAATATAAAAAATCAATCAATTAATATTTTACTATTAAGATATTTTATAAAATATTTTGGTAGAAGAAGAAGAAATTTATAAATATTTAATTTTAAATAGTTTTATAATTTTTTTTATTATTTTTTTTTATTCAAATTTATTCAAAATTTAAATAAGATTATAATTAAGAAAGTATTATTTTTAAGTCTCATAAAATAATTTAACATATTTTTTAAACTTGCAAGCATAAATGTCAATAAGCCAAATCAAATTTATTATTGATCTTTTCAATTCTTACTTTAAGTGTATTTTTTTTGATTAATAATTTATTTTTAATTTTTTTTATCTTGCATGTTCTATTGGTCTAAAAAAAAAGAAAGAAAAGATCTAAAAATTATCTTAGCTTTTATCACACATAAAAAATACATATAAATTTTATTTTAATTATATCTTAAATTTTTTTAATATGAATTGTGCATTCTTCTAATCAAATAAATATTTATAACGATCTTTCTTAATCTTCATAAATTTCAAATTTCAATTTCTGAAAGAAATAAATATTATATTATTGAGATGTTAAATAAAAGTCTAAGTTATCATATTATTTTTTAAAATTAAATAATTGTACTAAAATATGTCATTGTTTTTTCAAAATTATAATGAATGTTTCAAATGTGTGTGTATATGTATATGTGTGTGTATATATGTATATGTGTGTGTGTGTATATATATATATATATATATTAATAATGATATATATAATTTTATTCTTTATAATAGATTAATATTTATTTCATTTTGGTTTTATATCAATGAGATGATTATACATTTGTTGTGAGTGAGTTTTTAATATTGAAAAAATCTATGTACAATTTTAAATCTCATATATATGTGTAAATTTTTTATAAAATTATTTGCATCAATTATTTTTTATATATAATGGAATATATAATATATTTGATATTTATAAAATTTTAATTATTGGTCTTTTAGGATTATATTAACAAAAAATATATGTCTTCTATGTTTATAATTCTTTTGTTTTTAAAATGTGCCACTAATCTTCAATAAATCAATTTTAGAAGTTTTACATTTTTGTAATAGTAATGCTAGGGCAGGGAATTGGAGACTTGGGAATAGAAGCAAGGGATTGAAGACTAAGGAATAGGGGCAAGGAATTAGGGAATAAGAACAAGGATGGGAGATTGAAAAATTAAGGACTAAGAAACATGGGATTGTGGATTGAAGAACTAGGGATTTGGAAACTAAGGACTAAAAAATAGGGGATTAGGACTGACTAAGAAATGGAAGACTAAGGATTGTTAAAGCAAATAAGTAAAAGTGAAAGTAGAATAAATTATCTTATCAAGGATATTACCTTTAGTAAGTTGTTAATGGTCAAAAGGTTGACTTTTGATACATAGAAAGAACATCTATAGATATAGGATAAGGCTAAGGATCAAGAGTCAAAATGAAGAAAATAAAGTATCAACTAGAGAATATTTGAAGACTAGGTAAGAATAATTAGTATTTGATATAAGATATCTTCTTGAATAGTGATATGCTAAAAGATTCTAGAACCATAAAATAATGTCATAGTAAGTTAAATGCCAAAGAATCCTAGGACTATATGTATAAAAGTCAAAGAATAGAAGTTGTCTTTTAGGACAACAACCACCACTTATAAGTAATGGATGTTGGAAGCGAGAGATATCTTCCTCCACATTTTTTTTTTATATGCAACTTTGTTGATGCTATATATTGTGACTTCAAATTTCTTTTTTTTTCAATAAAGATTAAGAAACGAAGAACTTAAGTCTTGGAACTGAGAATTAAAGGACTGAAAATTAGAAATGAAAAAGTAAAGAATGGAGGATTGTTAATTGAGAATGGAGAATTGGAAAACAAGAATGGAAAATAAGAGACTACAAGATGGAAGATTAGAAAATAGGGATAAGAAATGGAAGACTAAAATGAGGTATTGAGGAATACAAACAAGGGACTAAAAGTGAGGAACAAAAATAGGAGATGGATCGAATCAATAAGATGGCAAGAAAAGAAAAGGTATGGCTTTAATAATATTGAGGTATGGTTTTATCAACTTCCTAGATATATTTCTCAAATATGTAATTATATTAAAAAAAATTAAGAAAATTAAATTAAAAATTAAAAACTAATCCATTCTTATTTGTAATAGTCTAATAAATTGGTTGATTAGAATTTATATATATATATATATATATATATATTATAAAAGCATTAATAAAAATTAAAATAAATATATATAAATGGATACCAATATAACTAGGATGCATTTAAAAATAACAAATGAAAAGCATGAAAATGATTACAAGCTAATGATTTTAGAATATATTTAGTTTATAATCATGAAGCACCTATATTACACTATTTACAAAAATGTGACAAATTTATAATTGATTTCTATACTTCACATTCTCTCTCCAATTGTTGAATCTAAATGGAATAAATGTAAGACACGGGTCAAATGCTTGACTTCATACCTAGTTCACATCAAAAAAATTGAGAGATGACTGCACATACGGTATAGAGGAACCCAAAGGTAGACCTACAAGTCATTCGGGTGCATGAAATATAGAAAGTGAATTCTTTTTTTAATAATGTTGCAAGACGCCCAAGAGATAATTTCACATGGTTTTTTACTGCCCTTGGTTAAACACTAAACCATTCTTTTGAATTTAACTGTTATCTTTGGGTCTAGAAGCTGAAACAGGAGAAATCCAGGCTCTTCGTCCATGGTTGTGATTCGAATCTAAAATCCTGGCCAAAGTGGGACACGATCTCCTTCACCGCCGACACGATTGTCTCATAGCTTATAAGACTGTGGGTATGAACACAAATCTTCAGAGCGACTAGACCTGGCTTCAGCAATATGCGCAGAATAGCTACACATATGTCCAGGTTTTGAGGTATCATGTGGAGTGTGAGCCGTTTGAAAGGAGGCCATTTCTCCACTGTTGATAGCTGCCCCAGATTTTCTTCCATTGAGTGCCAGAGCCCAGGCCCAACGTTTAGAACCTCAAGTCTTTCGCACATTAGAAGTTGCTTGAAGCTTGGAAGGGTAATAGGAATGCCCTTCAAAACACCCAACCACTTCCCATCTTCACCCAGAGCCATGCAGGGTATGTCCAAGAATAGTTTTTCCAGATTGGGATTGGCTGCAACAATCTTCAAGAGTGTCTCAAAACTCGAGGCCCCATAGAGTAATTCCTGCAACTTGCGAAGATCCTTGAACTCCACCTTTGAAATTTCTCTTATATCAAGATTGAAAGCCATGAATTTCAAATCAGAAGCAGTGACGGTGAGCCTCTCAGGACAAAGCATCTTCAGCTGTAATTTTACAAGGCTAGGGAGATGCATGCTTACTTCCCTAGCCACAGTTGAAAGACCTAGGCATAGAACCTTCATGTGCGGAAAGTCAAGGTTGCCATGTGTTACTCCAAATACTCCTAGAAGAGCCAGCGTCTTTAAGTTTCTCATGTGAGCATTGATGTGTTGTAACGTATCACCAGTGACCTTCACACATCGCAATGTGAAGCTCACAACCGAAGGCATGTCTTCTAAACCAGTAGAGTCGATAAACATGTTCCGCAAATCCAAAGTCATCAGTAATTTACCTGCAAACAACAAACTAAGGTACGATCAAACTACCACTAATAATGATGTTCGGTGAAGGCACTGTATTCATTATCATGAACTCTAAGTCCTTGTGTTAAATAACAGCATCATCGCGTAGAACATGTGCCCTTGGCAAAGCCATCACAGACGACTATAAAATGGATTTGAGATAGTAATTACAAACTCACAGAGGCATGGTGCCATCTCCACATGTGTTAAGAATCAGTAAACAAACTCACAATTCTGAGATAGTACAGCAAGGATGGTTGTCCTGCGCACAATGGCCTGCTGTCCATAATCCACAATACACAAGTGTTTCAAGGTGCTTCTGACAGAAGGCACCCATCTTTTCAAATGCTGTGGGTCGCTCAGCCAAAAATCTGTTCTCGTCCTTTCAGTCTCAGGAACAGGATGTGACTGCAGTTCTGCCTCGATCTCAATCCTTAACTGCACAAGATTAGGTTTCTTCTGAAGGAATCCGACCACCACTTCCCTGAATACTACGAAGATTCTCTCATCACCAGACTCATCATCACTGCTGACGAACTGAGTGACTCCTTTGCTAGCTTCAGCGCCTGATGCACTAGATTCGCCTTTACCATCTTTCAGCGTTAAAGTACTCGGAGGGTTTGAAGTAACTCCCGCTCTTGCGATCTCGTGATATTTGCTCAAACAGATTAACCGTATCGACTGAACCCGTCTACCAGCTTCCCTGAAGCTTCTGCAAGCGCAAGAAGCTATTGCAATGGCGCTCGCGATCTCTAATCTGTTGAATATATCTTCGAGCAAGTAAGAAGGAAGTGTGAGCACCTTGCATGACCAGGTCTCACTTGCCTGCATCGATTTTGCAAGGGATGATTAAATACAACACAGACATGAATCAATTACAAATGAACCAAGGGGGGAAGACGGACAATTAAGAAACTGCCTAAATGCTGTGGGTCAGATGACATGGATATTCCATCTGCAAGCTCTTCATGCAAAAACCTCCTCCCATGACAAGCCAGTCACATGTGAGGCCACCTCCAAAAAAGGTGATAAGAATCCAATCAAACATGCAACTACGCTCTTAATCCACAAAAACAGTTCTAAAAAAAGAAAATCAAAATGATTAACAGTGGTTCCTGAAATGAAGTCCCACTGTTAACACACGAACATGAAATCCGCTGACAACTCTAAATCAGGGTGCATTCACTGTAGACCAGTACCGTCTTACAATACTTTTCATACATGTTAGGGAGAAATGGTCAAGCTATACCTTGCTCTGGGCAGATTTGAAACCCCGCATAACTATAACAACACCATTCCGCGACCCTTACTTCAAGCATGGACTTTTCTTTAGAGAAGACCGCTTGCATCCACTTTTTCAACCACATCGATCACCACGCCCGCGTAACGACCCAACGCAACGGAGCTCGTCACCACCAATGCTTGGGAACCCGTGATCAGCAATTAGAAACCTCGTGACCTCCGAAACTTCTGAACATTTCGTTTGTTAACGGAGTAACCCTTATCTACATCCAGGAGAACAAACGGTAGTACCTATTTCGAGATGCATCGAAGCTAATGGAAACCTTGCTCAACTTTGCTGAAACCTCTGCTACCTAACCTGCTGCTACCTAACATGACACACCCAAAGATAAGCAAAAAAAAGAAAGAAAGAAAGAAGAAGAGGAAAAGCTTGCACAAATAGTTGAAGCTTCTAGACCCATGTTCTATTCCCGAGACCTCATGTGCTAAACTCTATAGACCAGCCTCCTGAATGCCCTCACTGAGAGTAAGCATCAACCCCTGCCCAATAATTTCCTATTTATTGTCAGGTTCTTCTGGACTTATCTGACTCGTACTAGACGCAACAGCTATATGTCTGCCATTCTCTGTCGCAACTTGACTCACATTTCTCAACTGTTCAAGGACCCACTCAGCGTCGCTCTTGGTAGCTGAATCCAACAAAGCAAGAAGCACCGGCGTGCGTCGCCAACCCAACTCCTCACGGTGGGCTTCTTAGGTCACAATTTGCCACTACTGTGTGAGCATAATGCGAAGGGGTTTGTGCAGGCCACATCCCCAGTTGCGTTGCACCCGTCGGAGCCAAAAGAATTTCCTCAACACACTACTGAGTTCGCCCACCGACGTTGTCTGTGTGTGCCCTTCACCCTGCATACGCCATCAAAAGAAATTCGTGCTCTTAGCCTCCAGTCCTGCGTAAGGTTTGACTCGCCACCTTACAAAATTGACAACTGCAACCGACGAGCCAGCTCCACAACAACTCAGCTGCCGCAGACACATTCAGCGAGCACAGCTGACGGTGCCGCAATCAGTGTGACTGCCACACATTTCGCACGCATAAAAAGCTCACGGAAAAAAGCAGCACATTTTGCATTGATAAACGAAATGGATGCTAAATGTTGTCAACCACAGCGCGAGGTTTCAATCCAGCGGTGGATTTCACAGGGCCATGTTTGAAATTTGGTCACCGCCGCGTCTCGCCGTGTGCAAGAAAAAACTGGGAATCTTTTGCCTTCGCTTGATGAAGATTCTTCTTACTATCCCCAGATTTAGGCGTAACTTTGTTATCTGAACATTCTAATGTAACAATTTTTGTCAACAAACCTTCTAATTTGTTTTGAATAATTGGGATGTCTACTTTAGGTTCATTGATCTAAGGTGAATCTTGGTGTAGATTAGCCTTAATTTACAGTCTTTGCATTAGAATATTGTAAAGAATATAATATTTTAACTTTAAATTATTTTATCTCTTGATATTTGGGTTTTTCAAATTTTTAGGTGTTTATTGGCTTCGCTCTATTGGACTTGTCATTAATATTAGAAGACAAGTAAGGAAGAATGGGTCATTTTTGTTGAAATTTTGTAATAATATCTTTTCTTATGTTTGTTTGTAGTTGTTGTGGTCATTGACATTTTTCTTTGTTTGGTTAATATTTTGATTAAAATTACTCATGCATTGTGTGCGTTTGATTGGAATTGCCTTTGATGTCTTATTCTTGTTATATTTAGAAAATTATGAGCTTTGATACTCCTATCAATACTGTATTTGTCTTTTGTCTGTCTAAGTGGTATTGTCTATTCTCAATTAAAGCTTAATCTTTGTAGTAAACTTACTATTTCCTAGATAATCACAGCTTATTTCTTCTTGGCTTAAGGCATGCATTTGCTAGGGTGGAGCTATGTAGCTTGGTTTTGTTAAGAATTGAGAGTTGTGTATGTAGGATTATGAAGAAGCCTCAAGGTATGTGCACTATATTATCATGATATTGTAAATACAACATTTTAGTGATGAATCTTGCAAAATAAGGATGTTTTGGCTAGTGATTGATAATATTTTCTATTTGAAGAAAGAAATTCATGAGATAAGAATGATGAAGAAGAGGTGGTGAAGTGACCAAAATCAATATTTTGATGGTAAAATTGACACTAGAAGTCTACAAACCACGACGTGGAATAGTAAGCTAAGGACATCTCTAAGCCCTTTTTGTTGAAAGTCTTAGGCCTTACGACTTTAATTTGGCAGCAACTAAGATTGTTGTGCTTAACAAGAGTTGCATTGTATTTATTACTGTTTTCATTTGTCAAAGCACCATAAAAAACAATATGAAATCAAGATGATTGTCCTTATATACAATTAGTCTTATTCAACTTTACTTAATCTCTACAAAGCATGTGAGTACCCTTTAAATCCCACTCAATCAAAACTAGCTAGTTGTATCTCAATAAAATTAATTTTCAAGGATTTTAGCATCTTTGTTGACTGAATTTTATCTAGTTACAAGATTTCAACATCTTTTTTGCCAATATTAATATATGAATGCACATGTAGTGGAAGTAGTTATGAGCATGCTAAGGACATCTATAAGCCTTCTTTGTATGAAGTTTGTCTACTCATCTGCAAAAAATTTTGACTTGCAATTAATAAGAATGTTCTTATTAATATGCCAAATACAAAGAAGGTTAGTTGATATAAGAAAAAAAAATTATATTGTAAATATAATTGTTAGTTCACTATTAGTTATCAATATAAGTAGTGTCATTCCATTATCTAAGAGTGATTTAATCCTTTTTAATACTCAAACATAATTTAACTCCTTCACATCCTTCAAAAATATAAAATATGATAAAAAAGTAGAATTCAAAGAAGTCACATTTACAACATAAAGGAGTGGAATTCAAAATTTATTTGTCTTATATATGTAATTTAACAAAATAATATAAGGATACTTTTTTTTAAATTCTACTAAAAGAAGATGAATAAAAAATAATTGACTGATGGCACTACTTTCATTAAAATAATAATTATATTAAAAATCTTTCTCTTTTAATTTTTCTATTAAAGCTACAATAAGTAAATGTCCTTGCAACAACTCACTTTGCATAGCTATAGGTTGATTGTAAATATTTGAAGATGTTGCCATAATTCTAGGCTCCTACTATTAAATAGCAATTAAAATTATTGCAATCTTGCTTATTGAACCGTTTGTTATATACCAAAAGATAAATATCATATAATAGAGTGTATTGTCATATTTGAAAAAGATGGATGATTGTGAATAGAATTTTAGACAAAAAGGTGCCAAAGCTAGATTGAAACTTCAAAGAAGTTTATAATAGTGCATTTGCTTCATTATTGTCTTATTTTTATGTTGATTACCATGATTGCATTTTAATCAAACTAGAATATTATCAACTAATCATCTTTTTACAATTGCATAGTCTTAAAAAAAGACAAAGAATTGAATACTTAAGAGAAAGAAGCATTTAGAATGTCTTTAATATATGTGCTATTGAAGACGTATATATATATATATATATATATATATATATATATATGTATTGTCAACCAATATTATCTAAAATTCAAAACTTTCTTAGCATAGAAGGAAAAAATTTCAAATAACAATAAATAACTTGCTCTAAAAGCACTCGAAATAAACTCTACATTTTCTTTGATTAGTCACATTTAATTGATGTGAAAGCAAATTAAACTAGTAGCATGTAAGTATTAAAGAATCTAAATAATACTCACACTCCAACATGGCAAAGTTCTAGTTACAACTTTGACTCATTATAGCATGTCTTGTCTAGTTTCAAGGCACAAACCACAAACAAGTAACAGTGGCACTTATATGGATTAACAAAAAAATAATTAATAGATATGAAAGAATAAATAAAATGCATGTATTTAAGATTTACAACTCCATGTCTACATCCACTAAACCACCCGACTTCCAATTGACAATACTTGTTATCTAATCCACATTAATTACTTTAAATCCTATTCTTTGTATAAATTTTCTTTGACTCTTCAATCCCTATAATTGTAACATGTCTCCAAACACATGTAATGGACCTCCTAATCGTCACTTTGTTTATCCCTGAAATACAACCACCAGGCTATCCCATTAGTATTCATGTCAAGAACGGATCTTGTCCTTAAGAAGCCGTTCACATAGTCCGACCCCCGTGACCCTAGTTCGTGACACAATTCTCTCTTATTAGCTAGTTTGGCTCAGTCCTCAGACCTCCTCTGAATCATTTGGGATTCAACTCGAACTCTACATATCATCTTTTACACCGCACGATGCCCTCACACTGTGTGGTTCCTTGGTATGAGGGAGGTGGCCTACCCAACCACTCCTTGACCACCTCGATGTGGGACTTCCATGGACTTGGAGATTGCTGAGGCTAAAAATTATCTCTTCGACTCACAAGTGCAAGGATCTGAATTTTTCGATCCTTACATCTTCCTCTACTTTGGAGAATCAATGTCCTCATTGATATATAGAATATGAGTCTTATTTCTATTTTAAAGAATTTTTATAATGGATGTTTTATAAGACATCATTTTTACTCCTAAGTAGTTTGAAGGCTTCTTTTTTACTTAGCCTCTATTTATTCCTTCTAGTCCTTCAGAAGTTTTTGGGATAGAGAAGGATTCTTTTTCCATTGAGATGAGATGCTACTCTTTTTTTGCGTTTCTTGTGCAATTTTCCTTTCTACCTTCAACTTCCTTAAGTTTTTTTAATTCCATGAATTTTGAAAGTTTTCATTTCCTAATGTGAATGGTAAAAATGTTACTTCCTTCTTGGACTTAGTCTCGGCCATGGAACTCCTTAATTAAGATCCACCTTACCTTAGTACCTTTCCTTATCCTATAGAAGTGACTTGCTATCACTCAATGAGAAACCCATTTAGGAAAGTCCAATCATTTAGGCCTGGTTGCTTAGAGCCTTGTATCTACTTCATACAAGCTTCTTAAGATTTTTCCTCTACGAAGTCCCCTCGAGTTGGAATCCTTTCAAAATGTTCTATCTTTTGAAAACTTCTACCACCTTCTTTTTTAAGTTTTAATGTCTCCTCTTATACTTTAACTCATGGATACTCTTTTTTTCTTTTCTTACAAGTTGCATAAGCTTGTGACCCTCCTCCACTTTGGAGTGAAGATGTCCTGATCTTCTTCGTCACTCCTTCTATTACTCTCTCTCTCAATTTATCAATTGACCAACTTATCCTTTAGTGGTTCTTGATTTGCTTTCTTGTAGTCCTAGGTCTTCTATAGTCACTAATTTTTTTTATTGAAAGCTATGACTAATCCCCACACATGTTGCAAGTTCCTTTCATTTATCCATTGAAATTCATGTAGAGGATATCCTTTGAAAGTACACAAGTATTGAATTCTCGTAACATCCATCCATTTTTTTATCAAGTATTGCTTCTACTTGATCCATGGTTTGATCCCATACCTCCTCTTGAGGTGGAATTCTTGCCTTCTCTTTGTGGAAGTCTTTTTCATCATCCACAAATTTCTTAAGGACACTTACATGGAAAACCAGATGCCACTTCCATTTCTTTGGTATGTCTAACACATAGACATTCTTTTGTAACACTCTTTCAATTTCATAAGGATCTCTCATTTTTGGATCCATTTGGAAGTAAGGTGTGCTGGACAAGTAAGGTTGCTTGTGTTCAACCACACTTTGTTTCCCTTTACAAATTACACATTTCTTCTATGCTTATCTGTTTGATTTTTATATCTTCTTTGGACCAATTCCAATCTAGCTTTAGCGGTTTGTAATATGGCCTCTCTTTTTGCCACCCACTTTACTCCTTCAAGTGAATAAAAGTCCAAAGTTGTTTCATCACTTTATCTCACTCCTATTAAGTTAATAGGCCAAAGTGCATTGAAACCATGAGCAACTTAGAATGGTATATTTCTTAAGGACACATTCACAGTTGTATTATAACTAAACTCAGCTATGGGCAACCATTTGATTCAATCCTTGTAGTCACTTGCCACATAGTACCTAGATACATTGAGAAAATTCCATTAAGTCTCTTAAATTGGCCATCTCACTTTGGAGTGAAGATGCCATCATCTTCTTCATCACTCCTT